AGAATCAGTCTAGCAGGCTTGTACCCCTTGACATGTGTGTAATCAATTGCAAATTGTTTTTGCAGTTTTTGCAGCAAAGAGTTTGCAAGCAGTTTTTGAAAAAAACCAGTAGTTTCTTGATAATTTGATCATTTCGTTTTGTGATGTTGCAAATGTTGTAATTTCCCTTTAAATGGTGGATTACCCCCATACACTCCCCTATCGGCAAGAGAAAGTACTGTTTTATCACATACATGTATTATTTTGTGGCACATTATCAGTGGTGCAAGTTTAAGTCAGATCATGGCAGTTGGCAGTCTGTGGAATTTCCCCTTGCAATATTAGTCTATGATACGCGAGCAGATTCAGCGATTATGCCAAACACGACTGCGCCTTAGCCTCGAGATTCTGACCACTCAGCAGGCGCCTTCTATCGGGTCTTCGGTAACCTGTTGTAGTATTACAAAACCATGGTAGCCAAATTGACCAATCAACAGCAATTAGTCCACATTTCTGATCGAAATGACGTAACAATTTCTAAAGTTGACTCTGATTTGCTTGGCGCACGTGGTCGCATAAGCAGAAATTTAGCCTATTGGAAGGGTACACCCTAGTAAATATGCCAAAAATCCGTCCGCCGAGCTCATGAATAAAAGTTATACATTCAGATTATTCTATAAAGTTAGAGACTTTTGAGAGCCATGGAATTGAGGGATGGAAGACGCCGGCACTGCATGCACCGTACATCTGGTCTAGAATTGGGGCTTCCAATACAGAGCATTTTGTAAATAGTGTGTACGGTGAACGAGTGACTTTCGCAGTGTTACTGTTAGGCCCACAGCAGATTTACACTCTTATAAGTGGATGGATAGCTCAAATTCCCCGAAACACCTACATTGCGATAGTAAATCAAACAGTGCGCATTTTACCCTCCCACACCGAAACGCAGCGCGGCTGCGCATTCGTCGTGCACAAACAGCGCGATGTCTGTGCATCCTGAAGATCAATGATAGCACCTCCAAGACTTTTAAGTAGGCCGTTCATTTTTGTCTCAAAATCTAAAAATAAAGTTTAAAGCATGCACGTTCGCATGAAAAAACCAAATCCATTTTAGGCATTTTATACCCCAATTACGAATTAATTACGAATTGTTTTTTTTAAGTAATCACTTTGCACAATATTTGGTCTTTCAAAAAACAGTTTATAACATACGCGCTACGCGCATGATTGGAGGAAAGAATACAATATAATGTTGAATGCAAGTGAGACATTAAAATAGCTCTGCCCCGTGAGGGCGCTGTTCTATTTCTAGCATAATTTGAAGGGTTATCCAAAACAAATACATTGCACACGGCTGGCTCACGCTGTCATAAAAATAACAATGTGTTCATACTTAAACAAACAAATCACCTCAAAAAAATATGAGTTACTGACGAAGCAATAAAAAGGAGCAACATTCTTAGAATGAAAATCGGTTTCAGAGAAACTGACCTTTATTGTAACGGAAAAATAAATTGTAACGACCCTGCACTACATGTCTACAGAATATAGATTCATGCAAAGTAAGGATAAAATGAAATAATACACTTTTTTTAATAAATACAAAATTGCAATGGAAGACTACAAACGAAGACAAAAGATCAATATATAATGTATGCAGTTTGTATATTTATAGGTATAGGAACATGTACTTTATGCCGTTTGAAAAAATCTCATATTCTAACATAACCACTCCCAGAAAAATGCCCACTAAAAAGGCTTTATATTTATAACAAAAATGAAAAAAATGAAAAAAGAAAATAAGGCTTACACTATGTTGTGCGTGAGCATGTCGTACTTGCACAGACAATAGATTTTTTTTAATAACAGGAATTAATTAAAATCAATGCAAAGAAATTAAGTAACATAACGAAGGTTGGCAAAATCTGATTTCATCAATTACGTATTAACAAGCCACTTCAATTGATTCACTGGTCAAAATATGTCATAACTGATAATATGTTTGGTCATTATAAGATGGAATGTTACGTCGGGGTGATATAAATCAAATTAGGTTTTGCCCTTCACCGACGTTTTTAAACACTGTATACTCAGTGTGTTACAAAATTCCATCTTATAATAGTTTATGCGGTACCCGCTGCTATGTACATCAGATTCGAACCGGCCAACCGATCCCGTTAGCTCCGTGGTCGAGTGGTAAGACATCTGCACTAGAAAGCAGGAGGTCGTGGGTTCGAGTCCCACCCGAGTGATTTTTCCAACTTTCACTCGGGAGGTAACACACTGAGTATACAGTGTTTAAAAACGTCGGTGAAGGGCAAAACCTAATTTAATTGGTTTGGTCATTTTATTTGTCTTATCCCGGTACTGAGTTTGGTCCATACTTATATAGCTTTTGGATCACTTCACCAGACTATTGTACACTCTTCATGTGCATGTACATTGTATATGTACATGCATCACAATTTAAAACGGTGAAAAGTGCCAAATCTGTGGTGAACAAACAAAAGGCCTTTCAATTATACTTGGATAATTCAACAGTAACCAAAATTTAAAAAAATGTTCCTCATCTGTACAAATAATCACTTGAATATCCCTCCATCAATGCTTGTATAAACAGGGTGACCCAAAACAAGTTGTGCAAGCAGATATCCTTCAATTTTTCTCAAAAACTACTTAAAGGGAAGATACAACATTTGCAAACATCAAAAAACGAAATGAGCAAATTATCACGAAATACCTGACTGGATTGTTAGGGAATGACAGTCTAAAGCATCCTGTAAAATCGTGGCTCCTGGTGTGCTGACATTTTCAAGAAAAATTGTATTTTTCCAGCGCTGATCAGCCGACCAGTGTTGGAAAAAACTGGCTTATTTTAAAAAACTATGTTTAGTTATTCCGCATTTTCTTTGCAATTGATTACACACCTTTGAAGATGTACAAGCCTGCCCAACTGATTCTCTGACCTTACAATTCCCCAAAGTCTACAAATTGCTCTGTTCATCTCAAGTGGGGTGAGGGAACCAGACTACAAGAACAAGATTGGTTTTCTTGGTTTTTCCAGCATCTACAAGCCCAAAACGTGAAATAAGTCAGTTTAACAATATTTGCTATAATATTCTAATCCTCCAAATCCATTTATTACTGAAAATTGCAGCAAAAGCAAATGTTGTATATTCCCTTTAACATGAGTATTTCATCTTGATGGAGCATATTAATTATACTCTTTTGCATAATCGGTGAAAATGCCATGGAAATCCGTTCATGCAAACCACTTGTGTAAATCCCATCCCATTGGAATGGGTGAAAAAACCCATAGCCTTTTATAATCTGGGTGTCTCCCCCAAAAGGTTGTGCACGCAGATATACCCTTTAATTTCTCAAAAACTACTCAACTGAGTATTTCATCTTGATGAAGCATATTAATTATACCCCTGTTATTCAGTAAAAATGCTATGGAAATCTGTCCATGCAAACCAGAGATCTTACAGATTATAAAAGGCTACGGGTTTTTCACCCATTCCAATGGGATGGGATTTACACAGTTAACTTATTTACATCAGAGTGAAAATGCCCATGACAATCTGATGCACTGATATCACTAACTGTGTAAATCCCATTGGAATGGGTGAAAAACCCATATCCTTTTACAATCTGTTAGATCTCTGGTTTGCATGAACAGATTTTCATGGCATTTTCACTGATTATACACAAGAGTATAATTAATGTGCTCCATCGAGATGAAATACTTATGTTAAGTAGTTTTCGAGAAATTAAAGGCTATCTGCTAGCACAACTTTTCTTCAGGGACACCCTGTACTGTGCTGAACAAGAAATTGTCAAGTATTTTGTTTTTATAACCTTCATTGACAAATATTGTTGCTTTTGAATTTTTTTATAAACACTGCATACTCAATTTTGTTGGAGGGCTTGAACAAGAAATGTTCAAGCTTACACTCAAATGGGACCTGAAACAAGGCAATAAAAGCCATTATACAACACCTGAATAAATCCCCGTCATCTGATTGGTGGATCGTTGATCACATGTCATTGAATTATTCATACCAACGGGCGGCGCACATTGCAATGGAAGTTCTATTGCACGGTGAATAGAACTTCCATTGCACGGTGTCACTGCTGCCGGTGGTGGCGCTGTTTAAAATCGAGCTAAACTGAATATGATGGTTCTCAACCTGTTGAACAGTTTGCATAAATTAAATATAATGAACTTGTCGAGCTTTTAAAACAGTTTTTAACCTGAACAAATTGGCTATTAAAAGTCGACCAATCAGATGACAAGGATTTATTCAGGTGTTATATAAAACAAATAATGCATGTTCATGTTCGTGCAATGGAAAGAATAATTTCATGAGGTGACAGATGAAATGTTCCATTTTTCGCCTCGTGGAATAAAACATTTCATCCGTCACCTCATGAAATTATTCTTACCACTGCACTCACAAACATTAATTATTTGTATAATATCGCCCTACTATTGCGTTATATCGCCATATTTGATTATACAAATAATGAATGTTTCACGTTCGTTCAATGGAAAGAATAATTTCACTCGGTGACAGATGAAATGTTCCATTCCACTCGGCTTCGCCTCGTGGAATGGAACATTTCATCTGTCACCTCATGCAATTATTCTTACCATTGCACTCACAAACATTCATTATTTGTACAATATTAAATTTACATCTCTTCCATGCAAATGTCATCCTGTAATGGAACACAGATGCTTGGTGAATGATACAAATTCACAAAGGGTAGTCAATCATATTGGGATCACTTCACTCAATCATCGTAAAACCCAGCCCACACACAGCTGTTCATGTCTCTTGGCATTTCGCCGACCAGTGTTCCACAAACGATCAAAAGAATTTTTAATGGATGAAGCATTGACAAAAAAAGGGGTCATTAACAATTGCATGTAAAAAGCAGCATTAGTTTCAACAGACGTTCACATTTAGAAATTCAAAAGGCACAGCCTACAGCCCATGGATCAAAATGTCTTCTTTTTTTTTACATTTACCCCATAAAACTCATATCATATGGCAGCCATGGCTTCTATACAAACTGCCACCAAACTGAAAGACACTCCGTTTTGTTAACCTTCTTGACAAACTGGTCAAACAGAACAAAATGATCCCAAAACAGATATAAATTCAAGTAAAAAATTAAAACAAGAAATGAAAAAAAGAGAATCGAACTACACGTAGGCCTACATGTACATAAAAAGTTAGTCACAAAATCACAATCCTTAGGTTGTACGATATCAGTGTCTGTTTCTGCCATCGCGGTTTTTTGTAATAAACTGGACCATAATTTGCTGCCTTCGCATAAACATTTATACCAGGTACACATCGTCACCCAAAATATCAAACCTTGAGTGGATTTCAAACGTCTACCCTTGTATTTTTGGCACATGTCATAAAACGCCCCATCCCCGAACCACTTCGCCATTTTTGATCCACCAAACATCAATATTTTAACCAAGCCTTTCACATTCTCTGAGTGGTGTCAATGCATTGCAAAATGCATGTAAATATTGTATGAAAGGTGTCATCCCCGTGCTATTTTTACAAATTTTATACCGAAAATAGATTTCTTTTATAAGTTGCTATTTTTCTTGCAATATAATCAGTTAGGCCTATTTGTAATTAGCTCTTTTCGATCAACTCACTTCTAGGAGCGAAACGTTTTCGTGGTGCTGTAGTACGTGCTGGTCTAAGCTCAAACCACTTGCAATAAAATAGTCAGTCCCTTTTGAATGAGACATGGACCCCCAAAAAATCAACCCATATCTAGCTATTGAATGATTATTTGCGACCCGACAATACTTTCGTTCTCACGGGGTAGGCTGGTTCCCGCTTCACCCCGTAATCAGTACGGATAATGTCAAGGACCAGGAGCCAGTCTCGTTGCAAGGCGGATCTGTTTGTGCCCAAAATAATCTCTTTTTTTCCAGAGGGTTGTGGACACGCAAAACAGAAAAACTGAGGTTTTGTAATGTTATTCAAGTAAAACATACAAGTTGAACATTTAAAAAGAGAGGAAAAAAGTCTGTCAAAGCACGGGGAATATGGGCTCAGTGCACAGGTACCCCATCAACGGCCAAAAAAGGAGAGTTGGGGTGACCTAGACTGGTTCCCGGTCCATCCACTGCGTATTTCGAATGTATCCAAAGTTATTGGAGGCGGGGATTAGTATTAGGGTATTCGCGCGACAACAACGCCTGACGCGCACGCGAAGACGCAGTGGCGCCCTCTTTTGTTGGTGCACGGAGCCCATAATTTTAAATTGTTCAAGAAAAAGGCACAAAGAAATTTACACCAAAAAACCAATACACCAGAGTCAAGATGCAAACATGCTACCAACAGAAAAGTAATTGTCATTGATCAGCTTTTAAGATTCTGCAGGGTGCTCCAAAAAAAAGGTTGACACTTTTTCAGACGCAGATTTCTCAGAATTGAAGAGACCTGTTGAAATTGTTTTCAGATATTCCTAAACTACAAGATCTTGGTGGTAGGCCTATACGGTGAAAACGGTGTTGAAAATAAAGCCTAAATTAAGACATGGCGGCCATTTACAGAAAAGTGGTCAAAAACCAGTTTGTCCACACGCAAGTCTGTCGGTATGAGACATGATCACAACAATAACACTGTACACAGAAAGAACTGCATTAACAAAGACCATAATCTCATGCACACGTGTGGACAAACTGGTTTTTGACCATTTTTCTGTAAATGGCTGTCATTTCTTGATTTAGGCTTAATTTTCAACGCTGTTTTCACCATAGACGTATATCACCAAGATCTTGTAGTTTTGGAATAGATGTATCTAAAACAATTTCAACGTACCTGTTTTGAGAAATCTGCATCTGAAAAGTGTAAACCTTATTTTTGGGAACAACCTGTACTGATACTCCTTGCAACAAGGATTATTGACTGACAAAAGCTCTATCCTGTTAAAACCACTTTAAAGTAGAGGCCCACACAATTATTAGCCTTTAATCCTTTCTTGGAATGGCTTGAGAAGCAAACACAATTGAAATTCTTAATCTGTTCAAAAATAAATTAACCTTTAAGTTCATCTCAGCAGATATACACGTACATGTACTTATCGAGAAAATAGTGTAAGCCCAACGTAGAGGTTTTTGTATGAACTTTGGTTCACAGAAAGCTCCACTTTACGAACCGTTCATCCCCACATTCAAAGGTACTGTCTTTGCCGTGGTACAAGAATATGGCTGGAGCCTGGGCAATTAATTGACCAGATAGAATTTGGCACTCTCTCATGAATATTCATGACTTGCATGCGTAGCAGAGTTGGTTACCACAGAGCAACAAACTGAACGTTCGCCTGCATGGGATGGTTAATTGGCCAGTTAGATTTGGCACTCGCTCATGAATATTCATGAGTTGCACGTGTAGCAGAGTCGGTTACCACTGAGCAACAAACTGAACGTTCGCCTGCATGGGATGGTTAATTGACCAGTTAGAATTTGGCACTAGCTCATGAATATTCATGAGTTGAACGTGTAGCAGAGTCGGTTACCACAGAGCAACAAACTGAACCTGACACTGTCTGAATGAAGAGCTAGGTTGAGTTTGCGTACCAACAATTTTAACAAGATGTACCACTTGACAATGTTTGAAGTTTCTTAAAATCTATTTTTTTTCCCTTTCGAAATGGCAACATGCCAGAAGAAAAAACAATCTCACAGATAACCAGTACCAGTCAAGTGTTTATATCAAGCAAGGTTTTCCTCTACAATTTGTCTCTGCGAAATTGCAAATAGTCCTACGGGCCTTCATCAGGCAATTAACAAAACAAGGATAACATTTGCTGTTAGTCAATGGAGCTTGCCCAGTTCAGCTTTCTTGAAGACCTCCGCCGCTGTGAATATTAAGGCATCGATGATACCGGCAACAGTGAAGGTACCACCCACTATGGCACATATCTGACCAATCCGAAACAGGAAAAATGAAAGAAAGATGGCCTTTTAGCTGTTGGTTCGTTCAATTACTTTGAATTTAGCCATTTTAACTTTATTTATTCTGCCTACCCGAATTTCCAACGTAATATTCGACACGAAACATGCACGTTTCCACAACACTGTCTGTGTACATGACCTTTGCACTACGCGATGCGCGTGACGAAAACATGGTTGGTACCCGGCACTTTTTTAATTCATATATATCACTGCGATCTAAACCACCGGTAACTGAAATGATAGACTTGATTCCCAGGCGGAATGCTACGTGTGCTTAGCACACAACATGCCCACACGCAGTGAAGCACGCGTGTAAGTACGTTGGTCGCCTGTATCGCATGCAGGCTTGGCAACAACAACGACTTGTTTCTAAGACTACTTCAACGAACAACGTTGTGCCGTGCGTGCGCCTAAAATGTACTAAACTAGAGAGCGCTAATGCGGTAAAAATCAACGCATTGCCACAGTTTTTCTTCTCTTTTTTCAGTTTATTTTGATGGCCGGAAAAACCTGAATTGTGTGAGATTTTTTTAAAAACCGGAATTCCGGCTAAGAGTGGCATCTTTGCACATCACCCTTCAGTCACAATAAAATTATATGACCTGGATGGGCGCACGACATCGTAACTTCACGCAGGTCAACTGTGACTTATTCACGCCTGTCGGGAGCCTGTTCCGTCGCTGCGCAGAATGTGAAATTTGTTGTACTCTTGCAACTGTTGATTGTTTTTTTTAGTGCCAACTGATGCCAATCGTCTTTATATCATCACAGTTACACTCAGCTCACCAAATCAGAGATGCCAACATTCAAAATTGAAAAGCGTAATTTGGCATCAGACACCTAATGAAAAACAAGAAATTCCCTGCACGAGGTGCAATTCACCACCCCAGGGCGCACGCATAACGTTGGGGCAATTTGGTTTTACCGTCCGTAACTGGTTTCCAACCTACTCCCATGTATTGCCTATGTGCACACTTGGAAACCAGTGTTATACCCAATTGGGTTCGTTTACTTTGAGTGATCATGTCGGCGCTCTTTTATGCGCTAAAAATCGCAAACCCAATAGTTTGATACCAAATTCCCATTTTTATGCGCTATGCAAAGACAGGAGTCAAGATACTACATGTATTACAAATTGTGCACACATTATTTTATTCACGTAAAATCTTGGAAAATCATAGAAAATCATATAAGGATCAAACAATCGTAATCGGGGAGAATCAATCGTATAAATTACGCCTAAATCGTAAATGTTGGCATCTCTGCAAAATATTGACGACGGATTTGATCCGGACAGTTTTAGGTCAGGCGCAGCGTGATCCTGAAAAGTCAGTCGCCAACTGTTCTGTGTCGTCGCAAGGTCGACCTGAGGCCGTTTCATGTACCAGACCCCATCACACTTCAAATTTAATCTGCCAAAGTATAGAAGAATTGTTTGTTTGTACTCACGGTTGTAATGAAGGAATAAAATGGCGCTCGCTTCTCATGATACTTCACCGTGATTGGACTGATGTCGTAGCGGAACCAAATCGCTGGCAGAACACGGTGGCCGTGACCCATATTCTGATATTCCTGAAATCAATTCAATAGCACGACTCGGGTAATTTTCCGTGACCCAACACAACTGCAGTAATTACCAGCAAGTGGCTCGCATCATTTCGAGTGCATGACTCAACTGGCGTAAGAAATAAACATGCAATTCTATTACATAATAATATAACAATAATAATAATCGGCATTTAAGAACGCTCTTATTAGTAAACTAAATCACAGCGCTTACAGTATTATTATTATCCCTGATCATTGGGCCAATTAAACATTCCAAATACCATCTCAGCTCCCTGGGGAGTATACAGCTGGATGCTGCCTGTTAGGCGCAAACAAGCTAATTCAATCACAATAACCATCTCTGCCCTCACAGGTACCCATTTACTCCTGGGTGGAGAGAAGCAGTGAGTGACAAAGTGCCATGCTCAAGGGCACACGCACCATGACCCCGGGTGGACTCGAACCCACAACCCGCAGCTTTACCCACAGACCACGAATCCAGTGCCCTTAACCACGAGGCCACAGCACTCCACAAGTCGTTCCCAAGACTGACATTTACAATTGTGGCGCGATCAAGCTTTAAAATGAGTCGTTTGTCAACCCTGGTCAATTTTTTATTTACAGACTTGAAAAGAGCACAATCTCAGCATTACTGCTCTGAAAACAGCATGCTGGTACCAGTTTTAATTCAAAAATTATTGATGTCAGAACACCAAGAGATGTGATGAAGTGATGTGATGAAGTGGGCCTTTTTTGGACTGAATCTCCAAATGAAGATTCCCGAGAAACGACTCATTCAGCTTGATCGCATCACAATTGAAGATTTTATTTCCAAAATGCACTGTGGATGAAAATCCTGGCAAGACCACTGTTAATGCTACATGTGCTTCCTTTTTTCAGAGGCGCATCCAGCTTTTGATGTCAGGGGAGTGGGGGGGGGGGGGGGGGGCGCAATCCGCACTCAAAACAGACCACTATTATGCATACTGGCAAATAATCGCCGATTTTCACGGAGCATTGTACATTTACATGAAATAGTTTTGGAGAATGGTTTTGGAGCTTGGTTTTCTTTCTTTTTTCATGTCAGTGGACTTTTACCACTTATACAAATAATTACTGAAAAAAATATTTATAAAAAAAATAGCTGCCGGGGGTCTCTATTGAATACATTATTTGTTGGGAAGTTTGAAAGATACCTCAAAATCCGCATTTTTTGTTTCTCACCACGAAAAAAGTGGGAGAGGAGTATCCAATACCCCCCCCCCCCCCCCCCGGTCAACAAGTGGGGCTAGATACCTCAAAATCCGCATATTTTGTTTCTCACCAAGAAAAAGTGGGAAAGGATGATCCAATGCCCCCCTCCACCTGTCAAAAAGTGTGGGGGGGGGGGGATATACTCCCAAATTCCCCCCCCCCCCCCCCCCCCCCCGGATTAACGCCCCTGAATGCATCTGGTGGAAGATATGTACCTTGTAAGCAAAGGTGTACTGGTAGGATATGTTCTGGTTACCCCAGAGATCTTCGTAAACCGTCGGGACAATCTTGATGTAATAGTCATGGGACGACTCAGCTGAAAAGATCAAACAAAGGGATCAACTGATAATCTAGTCAAGAGCCTGTTTGCGATACCAAGCTATTTTCAGACAAGGTTTAATTTTAGCACGCGTCTCTCAACTCTCAAACTACTGCAGGGTTCATCTCGCTGACCCATGTCAACACATATCGTGACGAAGTTTGCAGAAGTCCGTCTGTGAAACTAGAGTTACAAAAAGCGTGATTCACAACCTTGGCAGATAAGGAGTTTACAAAATGAAACCGGATGCAAACAACAATTAACCCACAAACCAAAGTCAACCAACAGATACAGCGTGTGTCAATAAAAATGCAGGATTAGAAACAAAAATATTAAGAATATAAACCACCCCTATTCATCATAATGTTAACCCTCTTTTCAAAGTACCTTTCCTTCTCTTCACTATGCTTTTTATCCCATCTCATTTGGACAATCCTGTCCAGAGATAGAGTACATTGAAGAAGGGTTATAAATTCCAAGCTGGTCTGATTTGTGAAATCACACATACCTAATGAAAGGTTTGAATTCAGTACAGGTGAAAGTATTTGTGGATCACAAAGAAGGACATGTGTGGCAGGATTAGGCTTACATAATCCTTTAGTCCACAATCAATGTTATTAGTCAATAATTCATGATGCTTTGAAACAATGATAGTCCAGTTATTAAATTTAAGTGATACTTATCATCAGTTGTTTCAAAGAAAGTTTTGTTCTGGTTTAATTGTCTTCAATGCATACCTACATTGTACAAACTGGTCGTTGTAATAAGGTCATTGAATCAGACCAACCCGCTTCAGAAGGGCTTCACAAAACTTGTCATAACTTTTGAACAAAAGTCCAAATTCCACCAAACAAAAATCTTGTCAAAGATGAAATTATGGACAATCAAATCCTTATCAAATTAGGCACACCAGTAGCATAATTTTCTCAGAAAAAAATCGCTTTGAATCCAGCATTTTTATTGACACACGCTGTACATGTGTTTTTTTCTGAAGGCCAAATTCTATCAAAACCAACCTTTGCGCAGCACAGTTGACTTGACACCCAAAAGATACAATGTTAATTTATTAGTTCTAGCCATTAAACCATCAGCACTTGACTGTTGCACATTATACAAATATTGACTGCTTTGTGTTGTGTAGTAAAACTAGCCTCAGAAGGGATCCACGAATTGTTGTTTTTCCAAGGTGAAGCTTAGGGAAAATGGGATGCTCCTATTGATCACTAAGGAAGGCTAGTTTCATTGTGCAACACGGTCCTCACAGATTCTTATTTTTTTGATTAGAGATTCTGATTATTATAAGAACAATTCACACACATCCCTTTGCGATTTGTTGTCGTTTTGCTGGAAGAACACTTAATACTTTTTTGTGATCCGTGGACAGAACGTTAAAACGGCGATTGTGTTTGAAATTCCGTAATTTGAAAAGTACTTGAGTGATTTGAATCATCTTGTATTTAAAGAAAGCTTATGAATTGGGCTTTCATATCCTAGACTTTGAAAGTGCTACATGCAGAACTTCACTAAAACAATGGTCCCAACATTTGGGATTCGTTACCCTGTACTACCCCTGCATGAAATAATGTCTGTGCCCAACTCTGAAGCATGCAAGAACAATACTCAAAACAGGCACATTGACCCAGCCTTGTGCTTGTGCAACTGTTTACATGTATTTCTATTTCAATATAACAATTCAGGAATTGGCCGGAATAGCCCAAGAACGTCTTTGGGCTAATTTCTAGTGGGGTCCTTGGCCTAAACCAGGAGGCCACAGCACTCCACGGAAAACCCACAGAATCAGGTAGGCACTGAAAGAAAACAAGGCGAGGAAAAAAGCACCAGTAAACCTGATCCCCCATAACTAAGAATGCCATTTCTTGTCTCACCTTTGGATTCTAATCTGTCCTTTTTTAAAAGTGGGTTGAAAGCTGCTCTCTCGCCAACCGATGAATTCTATAGAGAAAAAAAAAAGAGCAAGACATCTCTAAATATCTGTACATGTACATGGGCCTTATTCACGAGTTGGAGATTTTTGTCAAGTTCACTGAATGTAGTTAATTTATTGTTACCTGTTGAATGGGATGGCGCCAGACTATGCAGACACAATGCAGCCTTATTTACTGTCATTGTTTTTTTTTTAATCTGGCTTTAAACATTAGGGAATGTTTAATTACAAATGTTCAATTATTCATTGAAGCAGACTAGAATTAATTAGAAATGAAGTTGGTTTCATTTGTCTACACAAGTTCCAAAAATCAAGATTTTACCTCTCTCAATCCAATAATGGCCGACTCGTGAATAAGGCCCATGTTGTTGGAAAAGCACTTTACTGAACACTGTCATAAAATGCATTTCTCCAAGTACCAGTATCCTGAAGCAGTGTTGTAGTACTCCTTACCCTAGTCATACATGTGTTTTGGTACTTGTTCTCGTACTCATACACGTACTCAACTACTCATGACAAAGTACATGTACTCGTACTCATTCTCTTGCAAATGTTCTCCCGCAAGAAAATTAAGCACTACATGCAGGAAAAGAAGCAGTTTTCTACTGTTTGGGAGGCTTCTGCATTTTGTGGGGCGCTGTGGTCCAATGGTTATGGTGTTCGACTCGTGTGCCGTGGTGCATTGGTTCGAATCCTGACCGTGGGAACACTGTGCTTGTGCTCTTGAGCAAGGCACTTTACCATTATTGCTCCGTCCTTCGGATGGGACGTAAAGCCATAGGTCCTGTGTTGTGTAATGCACGTTAAAGAACCCAGTAACACTTATCGCTAAGAGAAGGGGTTTGCCCCGGTGTTTCTGGCAGTGGCTGCAATGTGCGCCGCAGCACCTTGTAAACCATTATAAGGTGCTACATAATGGGTCTCATATTTCTCATAAACTTTATTTACCTTTCTTTAATAATTGACATAATTTCCAGCGCCTTCAGTACCTAATTGTTGGTAGATACGTGCGCTATATAAGACTCCGTTATTATTATTATTATTTGTTTAATGCCTAGTTTCATAGCAAAGAGCCGTTGAAAACACATGACATGTTGAAATTTGCTCCTCCTTGTGGAAAGTACTCGTACTTGCACTCGTACTACCGGTAGTACTCAAGTACATGTACAGTTTTTGGTACTTGTACTCGTACATGTACTCACGGATTTGGGAATGCTGGTAATTACGTAGTGAAGATATAGGGCTGCAGCTGATTTGACGAAACCTTACGCAATGTGCAACTCTGCTTGCGCCAAAATGTATTGTGTAAGTTGCCCAACATTTTACTTATGACAGATTTCACGAAAGTCGGATAGTGCATAAGTCCGCAACTTGCGCAATAAATTATGGCGCAACTTATGACACATTTCACGTAAGTCAAATAGTGCGCAAGTCCGCGACTTGCGCAATAAATTATGGCGTAACTTGTGCAATCATTTTTTAGGTGGGGTAAGTTGTGGTGTAGCGACTGCAAATGACAATTTACCAGCAAATTGGGACTGTCAAGGAACTTATCAAGGTTCATACAAGAAACTCACAACTTTATGTTTGAAGATATCTATTTTACTCATAACATAAATTTTAGAGTTGCTGAACAATTCCGAAAAAAGTCAGACAAAATAATTTTCAAAATGGCAGGATGAAGTGATCCAACAAGTGTTTCGCGAACGAACAATTTCACACACAAACAGCCATCGTAAATGCTGTTTTTATTCTCGTCCATGATTTTTAAATCATTTAGAACGTTGCGCAGCTACACCAAGTTTTGTGAAATTGATCAAAAGTTTATTGCGCAGCTGCGCAACAAATTTTTTGCATAAGTCTCACGCATGGCACAAGCTGCGCACCTTTTCATGAATTAGACGCATCGTTGCAAAGGCCTTCTTTTGTTAATTTCTTCACAATGACAGCATGCCAGAAAGAATAATTTCACAGGGTGTTTAGTTTCCTTACTATCTTTCAACCATGTATGTTTTTCAACAATAATTACATCAGTTACTTTCTGGATAGCTGCAAATGATGGACTGTAGCTTTAAAGAGTCCACAAATCACAAATTAGTATAGCCGTGACTCACTGGCCACTGTATGTAAAGTATGTGCTCCAGCACCCCATTAACCTTCTGATATCGCCAAACAAATAAAAAAGTTCGTGAAAATTTACGTCAATGCCAAAAGTATCCAAAGCGATCATGACACACTTTGAGTTTCAACTTGCAACCACACTCTGGGTGGTCCAGAACAAGATAAGGGTTTAATCATTGCAAATATTTTGATTGCCGATAAATCTTGGGTAAACATATCTATTTTAATAACTTCTATTTTTTCCGCTGTACTTCATACTTGACAGTTGCATCCGATTGCCAATCTCATGTAGGCTTGGGCGACTCTAGCATTTTTGGAATCGATTTTGATCCCTTCCAGGAATCGCAATTCCATTCCGAATTGACTCCAATTTTCCCCAGCCAAAAATTACACAAAAAATTGCATCTATAAAAAAACCCCAACCAACTACAGGGTGAGTAAAAAAACACGAAACCCAAATGTCTGGACCATTGTTTTAGTGCAGTTCTGCATGAAGCACTTTCGAAATGTACGATATCAAAGCCGCATTCTTAAGCTTTCTTTTAGTACAAAAATCATTCAAATCACTCATGTACTTTTCAAGCTACAGAGTTTTAAACACAACCACCATTTTAAAGTTCTGTCCACGGTTTACAAAAAGTTCACTGTTCTTTCAGCAAAACAAAAACAAATCACATAAGGATGTGTGTGAATTGTTTTCGTTTTGCTGAAAGAACGCACGCCTTTTTTGTGATCCGTGGACAGAACTTTAAAACGGAAAATGTGTCCTTTTTAGAACATCATAATACGCGTACGTGACCAAAATGCGCGTCAACCCCTGATACAGCGCGTGCTGTATATATACACGTAGAACGTTCATGTCCATACGCAGCAATTTTTGAAAGACCGGGGGCAAACTGGTCAAAATGTTAATTTAACTATGTGACTGGTGTAACAATCTGCTACAGTATTGCTAAGAACTGCAGTTCTGTGCTATCAGCTTCGGGCGGGAACAATCTGTGATAATATTGCTAAGTATAATTGCAGTTCTGCGCTATCAGCTTCGGGCGGGAACAATCTGCTACAACATTGCTAACTATAATTACACTTCTGCACTATCAGCTTCGGGCGGGAACAAGAAGTTTGGCATATTGAATAAACGGCTGCCCAGCCAAAAATAACAGCAATCGAAAAATTTGATAAAGGTCAATGTATTTGCAGATGGGGTCAGGAGGATTATTTATTCTGGTTAGAAGGTTGTGCCTAATTGAGGTACACGTACTTACCGATAAATCATCACCAAAGGACACCTGGTCAATAAAATGGGCAAAATCAGGCTTGGAGGGCTGGTTCATCCCCGCCGCATGCGTTGACACGTGAAAATTCCCAGGAACCTGAAGAAAAAAAATGAGCAAAAAATGGATGAATCTCTTTTGAGAAGGTGTGTGGTGCTGAAAAGAACCGGTTGTTTGTGAAACTCAACGTTCCGATCAGAATGCTTTGATCATCTTGAGGAGATCATACTGATTAGAGCATACTGATATATTTTCTTTAACCCTAACTCCCTAGGCCTTTTTTGCTAGGAAGTAGCCTCAATCCTGCAAAATCCTCCAATTGGCCTCATGGAAAAATAGCATATAGCCTCAATCCTGCAAATTCCTTCATTATTTCTTGAATATGGTCTGTGGAGAGGTGACCACTGCCTGAATCCTGCAAAATCCTCCGGCTATGACTGTCAATAGGCTGAGGCAGAGGCAGTGACATCCTGAAGCAGTGCGGAGGATTTCAAGTATAATCAAGGACTAAATTTATGCACGGCTGAGCATAAACAACACAAGGTCCGGCCCAAGACATTGACACAGTGCGTCCTCCGAAATCAGCAACGCACTTTTGCCATGTAACCTCAATCCTACAAATTCCTTCTAATTTGCAAAAAGGATTTTGGAGGATTTGGGATGGTTAGGGTTAAATGGTAACGCCACAAACAGGGATGGGATTGTCAATTTAAAACAAAATCTGAAAATTGGATGACTGGCCTGAAAGATGTGTTTCTTTCTATACTGATGTCTAAATGTCTTTCTCTCAGATTCAAAAAGTCTGAAAAATCTCATGCCTGAACGAAAGTGAAAAGCGAACATGACTTTAGGTCTCCTCATATCCTGTAGTTACAAAATAAGAAAGTGCAGCAGTAGATACCTTATTCACAGTGAATGTTGTTTCAAACAGACACCCTTTCATGTTGTTGATAGGCTTCTTCTTTGTGTTGTCAACATACCCGACTTCATGTCGGCCCATGTCATCTTGTATGTCTAACCCGAGAACTGGAGGCCATTCGAGAGTGACATAAAAAAAGAGAGAAAATAATCATCAAACAGTGAATCAAGTACAAAACGGGTTAAAACGTCAAGCGGATGACGTCTAAACACGCTAACCCCCAATCTGTTTGATACACACACAAAAAGTCTGAGAAGTTTGTGGAGGCTGGCCATGCGTTGTTTATGAACTTGGCTGCTGTGCACCGCCTGTTGTGGTACAATTTACGTTCCATGGGCACACCCCGGAGTGTTGAAAAATATGAGGTTGCGGTATGAAATGTACATTTCTGTTGAAACGACTCTTGCGAATCAGTAGGCCCCCTATTTGTGGCGTTTGGCTGTATATCAAACGTAATCTGCCATATCTTGTTTTTTTTTTCAAAATTGAAATATTTGCAGCAAACATAATTCCGGCGCGAACTGGTTAAGAAAGGAAAAGAATGTCTCGAGAGTGAATTTATCATACTTCTAGCTCTCCGAGGTTCGATGTGTTAAAGGGAATATACAATATTTGCAAACATCGAAAAATAAAACTACCAAGTTTTTATGATATACCTTACTAGGATGTTGGTAAATGACAGTCTCAAGCATGTTGTAAAATTATGGCACCTGGTGTGAAGTCATTTTCAACAAAATGGTATTTTTGTATAAATTTCCACCGGTGGTCGGCCGACCACCGTTGGAAAAACCTAACTTTTTTTCAACTACTGCTCCAAATTCACCATTTTTTTTTCAGTGCAAATCTTGTTTGCTAATTGGTTACATGTTCATAAACGGGATGCAAGCTAGACTGGTTACTTTACCTTACAATTTTCTGGCATCTATAAATTTATCCATTTTATTTTTAGTGGAGTCAGGGAACCAGATTTCTCCACCATTTGTGTTTTTTCTTGGTTTTTCCAGCATTTTCGAACACAAAACTTCAAACATGTCAGGTTAACAATATTTGATCTATTATAGTTACCCCTCAAATAGTTCATTTCTGAAAATTATAGCAAAAGCCAATGATGTACATTCCCTTTAAGTTAAGCTGCAGCAAAATCAAAGCCAAGAAAACAACTGACCTGAGCATGATAGTCGTGGGAGGGTGATGTTAAGTCGCACATCCATTCTTTCAACTGTTCCCGGGTTATCAACGTACAGCTCACTGACTCTGCAGGGGAAAATTAAAATTAAAAAAAATCTAATACCAGGAAGCTGCCAAATTGGTATATTACCCGTAGTATCTCTTAAGGGTTTTGCTTTAACCCTAACGTACCTAAATCCATCAAAATCCACACCCCTGTTTTGAAAGGATTTCGGTGGAATCAGGATACCTCCATATGTATTGAAAAAGTTGGGGGATTTTGATGGATTCGGGACAGTAAGCCTACATATAGCGTTAGTGCAGGATTTTGATGGATTCAGGATTTTGATGGATTCAGGATCTCAACAGATTTACTCTCGTCTAACTGGTGGATTCTGATGGACTCAAAGGCCACCAACATTATTTTGCATGGCAAAATTGATGGATTTCGGCGGATGCAGGATACTTTCTAGTAAAAATACCCAAGGGATTAGGGTTAATGCAAGAAAATAAGCATTTGAAACATTTACACGCTGGATGTACATGTACATGTTTTTTGTATGCATTATAAAATTATTTTCTGGAGGTCTCCGATACATTTGACACATGTTTGATTCCTGTAATGTCTGTTTGTCAGTTGGTTTGTTTGTGTTGTTGTTCTTGTTACATCTGTACACCCATTTGACTAGTTGCTTCGTTTTGTTTTTGTATTGCTGGTTTGTTTTTTGGTTGGTCACGTGACTGTTTGTGAACGCCGTTTGTTTATTTGTAGTCTGTTGTATTTACTTGTACATGTATGCAGGTGCTATATTATCATTTATGTATCGCTTATATTTGTTTTAAAAGTTTTACATGTAAATGCCAGATGGATTTGAAAAAACACATCGCTATTTTTATGCACTTTTGTTAATTTTTAGACAACCCCCATGCAGTAGTTTTTAATTTTCATATGTCATTTGAAGATTTCATGTGTAAATAATAATTTAAATCAAAGCAATGAGTCTTTTAAAAAAAAAATTGGCAGTTTCGAATATCTGAATATTTGGTCGAACATAGTTTTGAGTAATCGAATACTAAAATATTTGGAAATGGACAGCCCTAATACAAATGTGTACATTACAATGCTTAATTCGTTTGATGATTTAAATATGGATTTTATCACAGCACAGGCAAAGCCATCTGGTCAAACAATTTGCTCTGCAAACATGTATATATGCACATCAAATTATAGCTGCCTATACCAACATGTCTGCAACCATATGCTCAAATAATTGCAGATTTACATACCACAATTTTAAATGCTGGTTAAAACGAGTATTATTAAGGGAAGAAATACAAAATGTATTGGGCGTTATTTTTTATACAAATACATGTAGCCTACAGTACATTTAAAACCGGCTAGGCGCCTGGTCACAGGTAACGTTTGTTTTTTGTGCGATACAAAACAAAACAAAAACCGAACCAAAACCAAAAATAGCACAATAGAAAATTAAAATTATATGTACTTACACATCTGGCTTAATGAAAGTGGTGAACTCCGACAGAAGTAAGAACACAATGAACAAAATACTGCATATTGAAACTGCAAACAGAAAAAACCAAAAAACAAACTTTTCCAGTTGCCTCAACAGCATTTTTGGAGTACGTTTACATATATGATTAAAAGTGTTTCAATTAATTTGCCACGACCATAAATAGAAAGGGGGGAAAGATTTCCATATAAGAAGTTCACTAATTTTCCTCTGTATTGAGAACAAGCCCCCAGATAGCAATTTCATGTCATCAAAGTCAATTTGAGCAGTGAGAAAATACAAGCATTTTCTTAGAAAACACTTAGAATTTTTCAGTCCAATCTCATAGGGTTTGTACACAGGGTGTTGAGTGAACTTCGTATATGGAAATCTTTCCGAAAGGGGTGAAATAATCTGTTGAAAACAAGACCTTTTACTTGAATCTGTGATGTAGTTTCGACTCAGCTGCAAGATTCAGCCCCAAAATAACTCAAAAGTCTTGAGAATAAACAATGAATTCTGAAACCCTACCTTCCTGTTATCTATGGTTTGTTTTTGATTATCATTTGTTATCATTTTTTTTTTGGGGGGGGGAGGGTTGGGTTTTGTTTTAGGTTTTGTTTTTTGTTTTTGATTTGGTTTGGGTTGGGTTTTGGATTAGGTTTAGGGTTGGATTTGGGGTTTGGGTTGGGTTTTGGGTTGAGTTAGGAGTTGGGATTTTTGGTTTGGTTTGGGGGTTGGGTTGGGTTTTTCTGGTTGGTTTATGGTTGGGGTGGGTTTTTTTGAGGTTGGGTTTGGAGTTGAGTTTGAAGTTGTTGTTTTTTGGGGTTGGGTTTGAGTATTGGGTTGAGTTTTAGGTTGGTTTTGGGTTGGGTTTTGGGTCCAGTTTTGGGGTTTTGGGTTGGGTTTTGAGGTGGGTTTTTTGGTTGGGTTGGGTTTTGGGTTAGGTTTGGAGTTAGGTTGGGTTTGGGTTGGTTTTGGGTTGGTTTTGGGTTGGATTTTGGGTTGGTTTTGGGTTGGGTTTTGGGTCGAGTTTTGGGTTGGGTTTTGGGTTGGATTTTGGGTTGGTTTTGGGTTGGGTTTTGGGTCGAGTTTTGGGTTGGGTTTTGGGCTGGGTTTTGGGTGTTTTTTTGGGGGTTGGTTTATGGTTGGGGTGGGTTCCTTTTGTTTGTAACTTACCAGCAGCGCCAGCTAATGTTGGCTGCGTTAAATCCTTTGGAATCTTTCGGTAAACATCAAGCCTGTTTTAACAAACCAAAACACACAAAGCCAAAGTTAGTTCATGTGTACATGTTTGTATTTCATGATATCAACTTTACAATGTACATGGAAAGCTAATAATAGTTCACACGTGAAAATCATGCTCTGAAATTTAACCAAAAGAAGCCTAAGTTTATAGCGTGCTATATACCACATGACTATTATAACATTACTGCACATACCGGTATCTTGCCTCCATTTACAACATTTTCATAAACAACTTTATGAATTATTACTCACAGTTTTTGTTAAGTATGTTATTTATTGGGTTTTTTTCATAATTAAAATGTGGTACATGTAGTTATATTTTATGGGAAACTTAGGGGGCTCGTTTTTGGTCAATTTCCCGGGGACAGACAGACAGATAGACAGACAGACCTACCGACTGACCACCAAGTGACATGTACATAGTTAGCTCCTGCCAGAGCTTAAAAATGTAGCCTGGGATATTTCTTATATTATAATCTACGAAGTGGCTATCGTTACGGCAGCCGTTGTTTAGCGCCCTCTATGATACTTTTTGATACGCACGCAGGTATATAATTATTTGTTTCCCCACGTTTTAGCGAGCAGTGCGACAGCTCAGTCGATAGAGGGTAGGATTTTGCACCGCGAGGTTGCGGGTTCGCATCTCAGTTTTGCACTCAAATTTTTTTCCTTTTCTAACCTGAGGCTTTGGAGGATTTTTTTTAAAAGGGAAATAAATTCCGAATTTCATAACGTTCAAATTCACTTTTTTCCTTCTAATTTTATATTTTGTTCTCATGTTTTTATAAAAGTTGCAGTAGGCCTACTACCGTAACGACAGAAAATGGGAAATGCGTTACGGCTGCCGTCTAACGACTAACGATCGTCACTGCGTATTTATAATTATAATCTAACTGAGCTTCATAAATACGTAGGCTACAAAAAATAGACACCTGAAAAAGGCAGCACTTTCTGATTAGCCTATATAAAGAGGGTGATATGCTTCCAAAGCAAAACAACATACAAACTAAGCCTAGGGCCTAAATGTGAAAATCAAAATTTGACAAAGTTCGACATTTTTTAGAATAGGCCACATTGACGAGACATGTTCGGAAACTGGGCGCAATGCCTTTCTCACCTTCTAACGTCAAATCCCATGATTGTCTCTCTTTATCAAGAATCTTAGATGGGAGTTAAAACATAACCAGATACCAATCTGCAAAGTATATTTGTTGATCTGGAAAAGCTCTTGTAAACACGGAAAATAAATATTATCATGGATCCGGACGGACAGACGATATTAAAGTTCATTCACGTGTGTGCAATGGAAGTCTGAACTTCGACCCGCATTAAAAAAACGTGCATAAACTCTACATGTAGAGCACGAAAGCGGAACCAGACTACATGGCTACGTTTCGACAACCACATGGTGGCTTGTGATTGGCCGACTCAAAGGCAATTTACACATGTAATGTGCAGAACTCGGACGCTGCAGAAAACAGAATCATTAGCCCCCCCCCCCCAATTGCAATCACTTCGGATATATTTTTTTTTAAATGGGTGTTTAATCCATGGTTGTTTCCTTTCCAGTAGCGGCACCCATAAATCTGCAATTTCAGGGGAACAAAAATTCAGGGCAGTGAATTTTTTTTTTCTGGACCGGGGGCCGGGGCGGGGGGGGGGGGGGGGGGGGGGGGCGGGACGGGCCTGTATGCTATCACCCAGTGCAGTGTTCCCTTCCGACATACAAATGGCTAGCTAAATTCAACACATGAAGACGCATAGCACCGGCGGATTAAGACATCTTCCAGGGAGGGGGGGGGGGGGTGTCGGTACTCCTTACTGTTGGGGCGTCAGACCCGATCCCTCTGTCAGCTTGAAGTAGTTTGAAAATAAAGACGTTTAGTACGTTAGTTGAAAGTTGAAACGCAAACTTTGCCTCGAACAATTTCACTTTCACACTTTTAATTTTTGCCTAGTCTCAATCGGATTTAAATTGAATTTTTACTCTTTTGAAATAACTGGGAGTATCTCCAGGAGTTAAATTATCAATCAGCTGTGGTGAATTTCTGGATGACGAGGAGATAGCTCCGTGCTTCAAGCCACTCGCGGCGATCCCCTGCAGGAGCCTTGCTAGGCCCATGGAGGAATAAGGCCTACATGTAGTATGGAATATCCGCTTGCAGACATAGCGTGGGCTCCGTCGATTGACGGATGCGATACTCAGACTAAAAGTAAGGAGCCCTGGGGAAACATGGGAATCGAAATAAGACAAACATTTTTGCTAATATTTAATAATGTTTTCTAATGTTTCGGATTAAAAAAAATATATATCAGAGGGTTACACAAACACAGTCGGGGTTCTACCGGCGGTCGTATATATGCCTATATGGGTGCAGACCAGTAGATCGGACCAAAATTGCCAAATCACGATTTGCATGCCTTCTCAAAATCTTCAGTATTTGAGCATACTGTAGGCCATGAACTACAGGGTTTGTAAAAAAAATACGGGTGGAAGCCGTGCACAGGACTGTGAGCTTGTAGTTCCGTTCAATTTGGATGAAATTGGGGCCCTAAAAGCGCTCTATTTTGCAATGGAGTGTAGGCATCGTTTTTCAATATGGCGATGGGCTTCAGGACTATTTGAAGGGGTGATCATCTCCGGATGGAAATTTCTCATAAAAGTCATAAGTTGACCCCCGTGAATTGAAAAGAAAATGAAAGATGATGAAATAAGCTTTAATTTGATGTGTGTCTCGAACACTTTGGAGAGTTGTAAGTATTTTCCCCGAATTTCTGAAGTGGGAGCATTTATCATTGGGGTCTAAGGAAGTTTATTTTCTGGTCTGCAACCCTATATATACCTTTATCATGCTTCCACCATTTTAGTCATGTTCCCTGTGTCCAATAATCGTGCTGAATGATAAGGGTACGGTGCAAAAAGGAACCAGACTATTTTTCCTTCCAGCCTCGCTTTGGCTACATTGATCTGAATGGGGAAAAAATCAAATGGCTGCAACATGATAATGGTCTTCTATCACTTTTAGACATTGCTCCGATTTTACATGAAATTTGGACTCCCATATAATGAAATCTGTTGTCTTTTTTATTATCCGTTTTTATTTCAGCAGTGAAGCCTTTATTTGAACTGCTATTCTTAAGAGCCCTGAATACACATAGTAAGTTACTAAATGAAGTGATTTCCATGGTAATTTTCTTCACGATTTTCTTGGTAAGAGTTGCTTTCAGCAAATCAGGGTTCAGACCACATAATTCCACCCCAACTATAGTCCTCAGGCTTGGATCCAGGGGGGGGGGAATCAAAATTATGATCTTGATGATTTTGTTAAATTGATTTTTCTCAATTTTGATCATCAAATATGCAATAATGATGTCTGAGGGATTGAATAATGTGCCCATGGGCCTAATTCACGAGTCGGCCATATTGAATTGAAAGTTAGGTAAAATCTTACATTTTGGAAGTTGTGAAGAGAAATGAAAGCAAGTTGATATATTAGAAATTTCAGTCTGCTTCAATGAATAATTTAAAATGTGTAATTAAACATTCCCTAATGTTTAAAGCCATATTCAAAAAAAAATTGACAGTAAAATAAGGCTGCTTTGAGCCTGCATAAATAGTCTGGCGCCATCCCATTTAACTGTTAACAAGTAATGAAATACATTCAGGGAACTCGACAAAAATGGCCAACTCGTGAAAAAGGCCCATTGTTGGGCACTACCTGCTGGAATGCTTATGTTTATTTTCGGCTAGGTACAATTTTGAAACGCTATATTTAAAGCAATTGTTTAATGCTCTCCGTGTTTTAAAATAACGTCTGTTTTACACTGTGCAATGAGAATATACATACATGTACTTAAAACTTGATTTTATCAATTTTAATATTCAAATCGTGTTTATTGTATATTATCCCTACTTGGACCCATGGGAGATCAGTTCTGATAAAAAGGACCGAATGGGCCACCCAGTATATAGAATAAATAAATAAATATATAAATTTGACAATAGTAGTAATAAATACATTATGTCCGCCTGTCTGCAACATTCAGACACAGTGCTACAAATCTTCAAGTCATACCCCCACCCCCCACGGTACCTCCCATTGTTCCGGTACATGATAAGGTTTATACGTTCACACACACGCATGTGTGTTCAACGTCGATCGTGGACGTCCTATTGTCCCTCTTTTGTTTGTACTTAAACTTTTTAGGAAGACTCCCATAGGTTTTGCACACGACCCCAATCGCGGACGTATGTTGGGAATCGTGGACGATATTGTTCTCTTTTGTTCTCTGGTATTTTTCGTCCACGGTTTGAAAAGATGCACGCGTACACTATTTGATTTTATGGAGGCCAAGTGTTCGGAGAAAAAACCTGTCTATACATTTCAGCACTGGTATACTAATTAAAAAAAACTGACGGGCCTGAAACCCCCCCCCCACCATTTTTTTTTATCATAGATTTTATTTGCATATGATAACATGAATATGGTAGAGTTTAACCGTGTGATGGACTCTTACCCTCACACTTGACCTATCATAATTGTCTATAATATGAAAGGTGGACTCGTATCCGAACTCAGGTCAGTGCCTTGTTGGTTGCATGGTACAGGCGTACAGCTACAGAGCTCAGTGAGCATCGTCTGTGATCATGGATGTTAACGGTCAAGTCAAAGCATTACTGCCCGAGGTGATCAACGGGAAAACCTTAAAGGAGCTGGAGGAAGAGACGACGGCTAACGACAAGAAATATGCCCACTTCGTGAAGGGTGTCAAACTGCCCTACGTCGTACCTCTGTCTACTATTGAAGCCCTCAAAACATTTGAGGTTCGCGATGACGATGTCTGTGTCGTCACGTACCCGAGGTCAGGTGAGCTATACGCATTGTACTCTGCTTTCCGTTGGTTCTTCCTTGTCCTTGTGTGCCAGCCTATTGTCGTTTTTATATACCTACCTGATGACTGACTGTCGGACCATTTCCTTCCTCCATGGTCGGACCGTGACTGACTGACTCGATCAGCCAATGTCATTGTTCAAGCCTCATCTTGGCCCCGGCTCCAAAATAGATTCATGACTATATACCCCGGCCTTATGCACAAGTTGGCCATTTTGGTCGCGTTCACTAAATGTATTTCACAAATTGTCAACTGTTGAATGGGATGGTGCCAGACTATTTATTCACTGTAGCCTCACTTTCATTTTTTTTTTAATGTGGCTTAAAACATTAGAGTATGTTTAGGCCCTAATCACAAATGTTAAATTATTCATCAGAGCAGACTGGTATTAATTTGTACCGTCATTGCTTTCATTTCTCTACACAATTTCCAAAAAAGAAGAAGATGTTACCTAAACTCTCAAACTGGCCGACTCGTGAATAAGGCCCATAGACCCCCTTGACCAAAATGTGCCTGGGACCAGCTTTACTAGACTCGCCTAGTCTTAATTGGCATCTTTTTTTGTTTTTACCCGTGAGGATAGTTTTCCGGGTTACCCTTAGCATGCTAAGCTTCATGCGGAAAGATAGGCCTACCGTTCGTTTCACAACATCATTGGCTTTAAGTCCAGTTCTAATCAAGGGCGGATCCAGGGGGGGGGGCCAAAGGGGGCCATGGCCGCCCCCAAAACGAAACCAATTTTTTTTTTTTTATGTGACATCGCAATAAAGGCAGACAATGAGTACACCACCATCTTACCTCAAAAAAAATTGGTTAAAGTGGTCAGAAATTGCCTCAGATCGCACCACAGAGCATCTAGAATCCAAAAAAAATTTCGGGGCCCTTAAGCGGGCCCCGAACCCCACGCCGTAATTTTTTTGACCCACTTTTTGGGGGGACCCAAATTTTTTGGGCCCCCCAAAAAATTGTGTCCTGGATCCGCCCTTGGTTCTAATGTGCACACCCGTGTTCGTTTCCTTTCGATCACAGTGTAGGCCCATATTACGAAGTGAGGGGTTAAGCATACAATAATTCAACCTTTATAATTGCTTGTTTACAGGAACCCACTGGATGACAGAAATAGTGAGCTTCATCTTGAACGACGGCCGGGATGACTTCGACCGCACTTTCATGACTTGCACGCTGGAGGTCACTTACACGCCCGACCCATCGAAGGTGGAGAGTACAATTCCCGGGTATAAAAAGTTTGAAGAAGTGAAATCACCCAGGTGCACCAGCAGTCATTTACCATACAGCCTTCTTCCTCCAGATGTAATGAAATCCAAGGTGAAAGACATTTTTGTCTTCAACAGGGTAATAAGAGATCTATACGACGAACCTTTGTCCTGTACTCCAAGGCAATTCAAGAACTGAGGCACTTTAGCATGCCATTTATTATTTTTTGGCCCAATTTGAGTAGTTTCATAACATTAGTCATCGGCTGCACGGGGAGGGGGGGGGGGGTGTTTGAACCCCCACCCCCACTAGTTATACTGCACATGCGTCAATTGTGAACAAAATGTTTCACAGGTTTTTTGCATCCCTTTAAAAACCAGTCACTAAATTATAACACTTTTGAGAGCTTAAAAGGGAACATTTGATTCGGGGGCACCCGCAACCCCCTATCCCCCCCCACCGCCCCCCCCCCCCAAAATATTGACTGTCGAATATCTTCGAACTTTCTCAAAATTAAAAACCTTAAACCTTGTCAACACACGTAATAATAGTACTTTAAGCATAACATGTTTTGCGCATGCGTGTTAAGGTCAGGGACTTTTTTCGCCGGTACCCCACTTCGCTCATACCCCCCCCCCCCCGACCTGCAAACAGGGTGCTGGGAAGGGCTGATGCCGCTGCACAGAATCTTGTGAAGGAAGTATACGGATGGCATTCTGGGAAACTAATCATGTCCTTCGCATGCAGCTAGCGCGCGCTATAGGTATGATAAACATGTTTGCAGCTGCACCTGCAGCAGGTTTGAGCGCTGCAAAATCTCTCCAATGAGAGCTCAAAGAGATTAGCCCTTCCTAGCGTCTTGTTTGCAGGTCGGGGCTACGAGCGAAGGACTATTCTACTTGGTTGTGAAACAAATATAACGTGATTATAAACGTTTCTCTCCTTGCGCATTTAGGTTGTGTACTTGGCTCGCAATCCCAAAGACATGCTTGTCTCCTACTTCAACTTTACGAAAGCATATTTGTCGCCTACGTTCCAGGACTTCAGTGTGTACCTGTGGCTTCATTATGCCGGAGAAAGTTAGTTTTCATTATTTGATGATTTATGTTTAAATGTCATTTTATTAAACCTCAACTAAATCACCAAAAAAAAAACCCCTTTAATAACAATATATAAAGCAAAGGGTTTAACTGGGGGAACTCCCCTTTAAATGACTCACGTTGGGAAGGCTATTGTATCTCCAATCACCGAGCTCGGAACCTATACGGCTCGCCAAATTTAAACATTTATTTCGATGTACAGTACATCATAATCATAGAGTCAGGGGTTCGATTCCAGTCGCTGGTCATAAAGTGTCCTCGGGCAAACCACTTTACACGCACTTGTCTCTCTTAACAATTGAAGGAGCATGGGTGATGGTTTTTAGCTTGACAGTAACCTGCGATGAGTTGCTGGCATACCATCTAGGGGAATAGAGATCTTCTCAGTCGGTTCATGCGAAAGAAACTTGAAGATGAAGGCCCGCCCAATGGGCCTTACGGCTCGGGCGTTCACTCACCCCTTTTCTTTCTTATCTTATTAAACTTTGCAATGAATAGACCAATTGGAAAACTGCCACCTCCCCTCTGCCTTGATGGAACAGAAAGAAAAACCTTTGCTTAATTCTTCTCTTTGCAGTGATCTTCGGGTCGTGGTTTGATCACGTGCTCGGCTATTGGCGACAAAAGGACCATCCGAACATCTTGTTTATGAACTACGAAGATCTCCACAAGGCACGTTTGAGCGGAATTGGACGTCACTTTACCGAATTCTGTACCTATAGGAAGCATTCTACGTTCATAAACGGATATGCGTCACATGTGCATGTACACAGCATTAAAATCTTCCCAAAGTTCCGAACTTTCCGACCTTTACGGAATGGTGCATAATAACTTCATAGGAGTAGGAAAACGGTGCTGAAATTGCGCTCTTGTCTTGTTCAGCATAATTATGAATGTTTGTTACCTAGCAGTATAGAGCCGGTCTTGTCTCCTTGTATGCTTACCAGACTGATTCGTCTGTCTCACTGACCCACCAATGACACTTGTGACTTTGGTGTGCATGAGAACAGCTGTAAGAGGCTTGCCTATCCGGTTAGTTAAAATTAAAATCTTCCCAAAGTTCCGAACTTTCCGACCTTTACGGAAGGGTGCATAATAACTTCATAGGAGTAGGAAAACGGTGCTGAAACTGCGCTCTTGTTTTGTTCAGCATAATTATGAATGTTTGTTACCTAGCAGTATAGAGCCGGTCTTGTCTCCTTGTATGCTTACCAGACTGATTCGTCTGGCTCACTGACCCACCAATGACACTTGTGACTTTGGTGTGCATGAGAACAGCTGTAAGAGGCTTGCCTATCCGGTTAGTTAGTGTGACGTTATCTCAATTCAACCATGCGTACTTCACACGGTGTAGCATAACACGAATGGAACCGGAAGTTAACGCACCTGAGTGTTTATCCAATGGGAACTAGTTATGAGTGGTGCGCGCGCGTGTATATGACGTAAAATTACCAACGAACCGGATAAGCAGCTGTACTGATGACGTCACACTTTGTTTACCCGTGTGCTTTCTGTGGGGATGACAGTTTCGTAGCCCAATAGAAAAGCGCACACGTAAACAAAATGTGACGTCATCAGTACAGTAATATTGAAAATGTGACGTCATCAGTACAAAGGCTTATTCAGGCCGCATCCGAATCAACAGTCTAGAGCTAGGTCTAGGTCCGCGCCCATTGAAAATACGCGGGGACGCGCTGACAATAGACGTAGCCGTAGCTCTGCAAGCCCGTTTCGGACACGGCCTCATTGTATGAGCCACACCACATGCGAATTAGTCTGGCCTTACTTGTTTCATGTACTTGACGTGTAGGCACTGAGTCAGTCTCCATGCATGCGAACATGCAGTGACAGTGAACTTTTCAGCCATTCTTTTCTATGAACTTTTCAGCCATACTGAATCAATCGATATAATTTTGTGCCCTGTTGCTGGGTCAGCTCTGTCTTGGCTGGGCTTGTCCTGCTGGAAAAAAATGTACTAATTTTAAAAGTTCGTATTTTCTTTTTCCCACTCTGAAATCAAAGGACCTCAAGGGATCCATACGCACAGTAGCAAAGCACGTTGGGAAGGATTTATCTGATGACGTCATCGACCGCATCACTGAACGCGTAAGCTTTGGAGGAATGAAGAGTACATACGATAAGTTTAAAGACGTGTATGGCGAGGCTGAGGCGCTGCAGATGACCAACAAGTTCGGGGAAGACACGGTGTACCTCAGAAAAGGTAAAATGGTTAAATAACCCCCAATAGGCCTTTTGGCCTTTTTGGTTATAGGAACCATCCCCAATCCTGCGAAATCCTCCAATTGCCGCCATGTAAAAATTGGATTCAGCCTCGATCCTCCAATATCACGGAGGGTCCGTGACCCTGCCTTCATCCTCCACAATCCTCCAACACTCACTGTTAATGGGCTGATGCAGTGCCGATGACAGAAGCAGTGCGGATGATATCAAGCATATAAATGCTTAGCTGCAGGCCTAACAGAATTAAACAATAATGTTTTGTTATACCTTTTCTTTTGGATTCTTTTGATTGTGATGTAAAAAAAAAACCACGAAAACAAACGGCAGTAAACACAACAATCATGACAATCTAACGGCAACTCACATGCATGTCGCGTGCTCAAAACAGCTGATCGTCTGCTAGTTCGCTGCTCCCACTCATGTGTGAAAATATGTTGAAAATAGCGTGGGTACCAACGATCAAGCATTTCACACTGCACCGTACGTATGGTACGTACGTACATGTACAAAGTCATAGCACACTCCCTGTGGGATATCACGTACATGTCCGTGATATCCCACAGGGAGTGTGTCTTGACTTTTTATAAACTTAACACGTGATCGTTCTAGGCCAATGAAAATACAGTATTCAAGACAGAGGTATAAATATGCAGAGTTTACAGCCTACGAACTCGGCACAATGCATCCTCCAAAATGAACAGACACTTTTTGGTTATTCAGCATGAATGCTCCAAAATCCTCAAAAAACCGGAAGGATTTTGGAGGATTGAGGAATTGACAGTGTACGTGCAAGTGAATTACGAATTCAGGGACCATCTTCTTGCCTTCAGGGCCGGGGAGGCGGGCGTTCAAATCCTCACCTTCGTCTCAGGCTTGGCTTTATTTCAGGCTCAAGAAAATGTTTGAAGCCATTAACGGATATGTTCTCCAGATTTTGGCTTGAAAAACAAGGATTTGATGTTCCTGAATTATGAAGCATATTTGGACCAACACACTAAGCTGTAGCCAAGCCAAGACTGCCGCCATCTTTGGCAAAATTAAAACGAAAACTGAATCCGTCCCATTAATAATAAACATTTGGGCACCTGCCTAAACTGTTGACTGAGTCAATTTTTACCGGAATTAACCAACAAGTTACCTTCCTCAAAACTTTTTTTATGATCCAAATGCCATAGGCCTAACACCTTCCCTCTAAAAGCGATAATTCACGTTTTGGCCAGGTTGGAAGTTTCTTCGCTATCTCATGAAGGGCAAGTCCCAATATTTGGCAGCGTTGAAATCCTAGAATTGATCTTCGGTTGAAGGTTGACCTTAAATATATACTTTCTGTTCGCTTTGTTTGTTCCATTTGTTGCTAGGAAAAGTCGGTAATTGGAGGAACACTTTCACAGAGGAGCAGAGCGCCCTCTTCGACAAGATGTACGCCCTGCGAATGGATGGGACTGGGTTGGAGTTTGACTTTGACCCGTAAGCGACGGTTTGTAGTGCGCATCCACAGTCGACAACCCAGATTAGAAGAGTAATCAATCATAAACGCTGTGACGATCTTTCTTTTTTTGCTATTGAAGCACTTTGCAATAATGGTATCCGTTTTAGAAATTGTCTGAACTGAACTTTTAAAAAGAAAACAATATTTTCCAATGGGACTTTTTGTACCCGTGAAATTCACACTGTTAGAAAATAACTTGGATTGGAATGAAATAAGATTGACCTTGCACCATCAGCTGACCTGGTTCTAATCACCTGACCAGAGATGTTTTTCAGCAGTGTATACTTTGTTGTTGTATTGGTGCCGCTCACATGGTAATGAGTGACAATCATTTAAGCGGGTCAAACGTTTAGTTCGAAAATTTACAAAGGTAAACAATAAGTCTTTACCCTAGGCCTAGCCAGTAGTTGAAAAAACAACAGCAATTTGCTTATCTCAGTTATCTAGTTACTAGGCCTAATTTTTGTTTGGTGGGATCAACGAAAAATATAATTAATTACTCATGAAGATCATTGGGAAACTACAATACTTAAAACACAATCCCAGCCAATGCTCAACTGCTGATTAAATAAAAAAAAATGACACTTTGATTCAGAAATTATCAATTCAAGAAAAAAAAGTTTCAAGGATTAAACGTATACGAGTTTTACAAATACTCCCCCCGCCAAAAAAATGGAAAAGACTAGAAAAATTCAGTCAGATTGACTGATTTTCATTTGCACCCAGCTGACTCTAGTTGGCTAGTCAAATTTAACTGGTTTCTAGTCAAATGTAAGTAGTGTTTTTTGCGTTTGTTTATGGTGTAAATTGAGGAAACACACGTGCGACATCATCGGTGAATCGAGGACAGGAACCAAATCAAGGACAACCTCGATTAGAAAACGTGTACAAAACCACCCAACCTGAAATTTGTATCCTTGTGGAGGCATTTCTTTGTTCTCGTGTAGTAAAGTTTTCGAGCTTGAAAGTGTAGTTTCAAAATGCTCTTATTTTAACCAGAATTAATTTCCATAATATCCCTTTTCTAAAACTCTTCCATTTGCAACCAGTCAACCCACCTTGGAAATTCCTAGTTTTTGATTAAATTCCATATATCTATTTTGTGAAAACCTTGTGGAGACGTAATCATCTATAGAAATTCCCCTGTGGAGACGTATACAATCTGTTGTTCCCTATTGTGTGCATGTCTCCAGAGGGCACGGTGTAACAGATAAATGAGAGCTGTTGCGAACAGTACAAACAAAGGTACAAACACCCCAAAAGGGATGAGGAACAAAAGAAAATCCTCGATATAAACCATATAACATGGCGTCGCAGAGCTGACAAACCGACGAATAAGCGAAAACCTTGTTTCGAGTAATTCACGTTTGAAGTTGGACCTTTTTCTGGGAGCCGTATTTTACCCCTAATGTTTCGATAAAAACCCTTTTAGTGTGTATTCGGAGTAAAATAGGAAAATAAGTATCTATCAGGTCACTTATTTAATCAGAGAAGTTGTACGATATGATTTTATTTGATCGTAAACGTATTCGTCAGTTTGTCAAATTACACTAATCTCCAATAGCCGGTTGTTCTTCGCACTGTTTGTATGCTATTCGCGTCGGTTTCTCGGATCGCGCGTGCACGCGCGCAATCCGACAGACTGACGAATAACCTTTGTTGGTACTTTGAACGCACACCTTACATTAGCTGGTTACCAGCGAATTGCTTGTAGCTATTCGTCAGTTTGTCGGATCGCGCGCGCACGCGCGCGCGCGCCAATCCGACAAACTGGCGAATAACATTCGATGGTACTTTGAGCGCACACTATATAAGCTGGTTACCAGCGAAATTCCGTATTCGTCACTATGTCAAATTATGGATTTGTTTTTGTGAGTGATTCGCCACAAGTGGGGCTCTGAATCTCAAAATCCAGACAAAAATTCAGAATTTCGGCATAAATACTTGAAACAGCAACCTTCATAAACCCTAAAAATAACAAAATCTCGAACTCGCCAAAATGGTCGATTCGCCGGTATGTCAGCTCTGCGACGATGGGTGTGTGTCTGTGGACAAGCAATACATTCGTGCACTGTGTGGACTTCGAACAAAAGATATCCAAACAAACCAGGTAGCAGCGACGTTGTAGGTTTTCCCCTCTCTGGAAAACAGAGTTAGAGGCATTTTGGGGTTAGGTTTATTTGTGGCAAAATGAAGAGAAACACTAATTAAGGGAATCATAGAAAAAAATATAGGGTTGAAAGAGTTTTCACAGTTTGAGAAAAAGTAGTTTTTCACTGTTTTTTCTTAACTACGCGAAAACAAAGGAATGTCCAAACCAGGTATGTAAAACAAACATGCGTGTGCGTGTACCACTTACTGATAATGTAACCAACATTTACGGATAGTGTAGTAAATGTTAGTGAACTGTTAGTATACCCTATAAGTCAATTTCTGTTACATTATCAGTTAGGACCGATAATGTAACAACAATGTATGCATTCCTGTTTTTTTTTTGCGGAGGACCATCTGCCGTAGTTAGAATTAAATGAGATGCTACCAAGCATTTGAATCCACTGAAGCGCCACCAGATGGAATCCGAATAAGGTGATATCGGGAACGTGGAAGAGAAGTGCTAGCTTGCAAAACAATTTGAGCGGGTCCTAGTGTAACCGTGAACAGTGGGTACTAGGCCTTTCTCTTAACTCTTGTAACTCGACGCACGACTGGTAGCCATGAATCTACAGGATCACCCAAGGCAGCCTCTCGGCGATTTTTACTGGGCATGTGGGAGTTAAGGTTCTGCCGATGACCACGTCTGCTCCTTGGCGAAATTGATGCAGTTTTAGATTTGGTGAGGTGAACGACTAACCGATTGCTGGTGATTTTCCAGTCCACACGCTGGACGTTATTGAGGTCGCTGAAACGAAGGTATCCAGCGTGTAGCTGATGAAACAAATATGTAGAGAGCACCCGCAAGCCAGCAAGGGTAGCTAGCCACCAAGTGTCCACGTGCACCGAAGAGCTGCGTCATTGATGGTTGGTGAAAATGGTTCATTTTGGTTAGGAGTTGAAGCGAGAAAACGTCTGTATAGCCTCGAAGCGCTATCTTGACAAGAGGGTCGTCGGTGGTCGCCTCAAGTGCCTTGCTATACACAGCAAAACTTTTACCTCAAATTTCACATGTAAGTGAAATTTCAACAAGCTTTAAACATTCCCTTTCATAAATCTTGAGTTTACGTAGGCCCTACCCGAATTGGAAAGTGCATTCACAAGTAGGATATATACGTCCACACAACCCGCATCCTATAAAAACTGGGCGTTTCTTGCGAGAACCATGCAAGAATGAATTTCGGGGGTCAAAATTTGGACTTTCAAATATCGAGCTGTTGAGTTGTACTTTGAATCCTGCCGCAAGTGCATCGCATTCTGTGGACGCACGGGAAACAATATTTGTGTATTGGTACTGTGTACGTGATGGACTCTTACCCTCACACGTGATCTGCCATTATCTACGAAATGTGTACTCGTATACCGGAGATCAGTTGTCACATAGTTGTTGGTCGCATCGTAGGCGTAGAGCTGGCCAAACATGATACAGAGCTTTTTGAGCATAGTGTGTGAGCATGGATGTTAGCAGTCAAATCAAGGCATTGCTGCCCGAGGTGATCAACGGCAAAACCTTAAAGGAGCTAGAGGAAGAGACGACGGCTAACGACAAGAAATATGCCCACTTTGTGAAGGGTGTCAAACTGCCCTACGTCGTACCTCTGTCTACTATTGAAGCCCTCAAAACATTTGAGGTTCGCGATGACGATGTCTGTGTCGTCACGTACCCGAGGTCAGGTGAGTTACGCATTGTACTCTGCTTCTCCATTTATTAGTTTTTTTTTGGCCAGCCTAGCTTATGTCGTTTTATGTACTTATCTGACTGACTGTCGGACTGACTGACTCAGCCACTGTCACTTGTGTAAGTGCTAACTTAGCCTCATCTTGGCCCCCAAAATAGACTCACGACTATTATACTACCCCCTTGGCCAAAATCTGTTTCGCAGACCAGCTTAACGTAGACCTGCGTAGTCTTGTTGTCATTCTTAAAGCTCTGACAGGAGCTTCCACATGTCACTTTGGTGTCGGCGGTCGGTCGGTCCTCGAAAATTGACCAAAAGTATTTTACCAAAATTGAGAAAATGCCATGCCGTCGTCACTCGTCAGTAAATGCACCCTAAAAATTGTTTGTAACAATTCGTAAAGTTGTTTATGAACATTTAATTTGTAAACGGAGGCAAGATATGTGCAGTAATGTTATAGTCACGTGGTATTTTCTGTAGTGGTTGGACGGTATCCAGAAGGAGGAAATGAAAACTAGGAAATGAAAATTGACCAAGTATGGGTATTCAATTTGTGCCATCGGCGTCGCATTTTTCGCCAGAGCTTATTGTGCACTTGCACTTGTTGTTTACCCCAGGAGATTAGTTTTCGGGGTAACCTACGATCATCTACATTCTACGGAAAGTCACGTGGTATTTTCTGTAGTGGTTGGACGTTATAGTTTCTTTCGAGCGAAAAGTGTAACATACATTCGAAGTAACATAATTCGTCATTGTTTCGGCAAATTCGTTTACTCTAATCAGCAAATTCGCTTTTAAGTTCCATTTTTTTTAATGCATGGCCAACTGAACCGTTGCCGATAGAAAATGGTTCAAATCTTTTTCACGCTCTTTGAATGATTAAACGTCTTCATCTTTGATTGAATGGCTATGTACATGCATATCCGGCGCGCGTAATTTTTTTCCTAGGAGGGTTAGGGGCAATGTCATGAATAATTCAGTTTTTCCTTTGAATCATTGCAAGACTTAGGTTCTCGTTCTATTTTCCCCTTAAATTAAAATTATCTCAGTGATAAATTTGGAGAAGAAAAATAGCTGATGAAAATGAGCAGCGACGACGTGGATTCGAACCACGGATCTTTGTATCCATAGCTCATCTCGCTATCCACTAGGCTACTGCATGTGTGGTAGCTCGACGACAACCGTTCTTTAAAATGCTTTAATGTATTGTAACTAGTTGAGTAACTAACAACAATGCTGTTGATGTCATTGTCCGTTCTCATCATGGATAAACATGAATTATTCATGACATTGCCCCTAACCCTCCTAGGAATAAAACTCATCCGGCGCAGGGCAGATTCAACTTTAGAACTGATTGCTCCGATACAAATTGCTCCGATTTATCTTAAGTGGGGTCAGGGAACCAGACTACAAGAACAAGGTTTTCTTGGTTTTTCCAGCATCCACAAGCCCAAAACGCGAAACAAGTCACTTCAACAATATTTGCTATAACATATCCTCCAAATCCATTTATTTCTGAAAATTGCAGCGAAAGCGAATGTTGTACGTTCCCTTTAAAATTTGCTTGTGACAGGAACCCATTGGATTGCAGAAATAGTAAGCTTCATCTTGAACGAAGGCCGGGATGACTTCGACCGCACTTTCATGAAATGCAACCTAGAGGTCACTTACACACCCGACCCATCGAAGGTAGAGAGTACAATTCCCGGGTATAAAAAGTTTGAAGAAGTGAACTCACCCAGGTGCATCAACAGCCATTTACCATACAGCCTTCTTCTTCCGGATGTGGTCAAGAAATCAAAGGTGAGAGACAGTCAGAGAATTAACCGTCTTGTCATAAACGAGGGTAAATAAGGGATTTTTATCTGAAAGTATGTATGGATAAGATCACATGCCGTTGGTGATGCAGCGGACGGGCCAGAGGTATAGGCCTGTTTTAGACCCCTCTCACACCAATACGTGAAGCCATTTTGTGGCCACTTCGAGGTGTCCCTGGGCGCAAAAGTTTAAAAATCGAATACCACGAAATGGAATCGGATCTCACGGGTTGCCACGAACTAAACCACGAATTAAAGACGTGTCGATTCCTTCCTTGGGCCGATTCTCACGGATGCTCCACGGATCACCCAAACAGTTTTTGAACATGTTGAAAAACTGAAACGTTTGCACCTCGGAAATGTATTGCCAAATTGAAAACGTGCTCAATACGGCTTATTCGAAGTACTCTCGTAGTGTTCTCGAGGTTGGGCTGAAGTTACATCTGGACTACTACCTTATCGCGGTGGAGGAGTTTGTGCACCTCAGTGACCCTGAGAGCTATGCTGGCAGGAGTTCTTTTACTCCTAGCAGGGCCACCCAAGCCAGACAGGTCAAAGGATAGAGGTCAGACGAAAGGTAGTCCACATCTGTCAGCTCGGCAGCAGGGGCTGGCAGCTACAATCATGGCATATTCAATTGTTTGCTACTGGCATGTTGTAACCGACTGGCAAGCGGATGAGCTCATCTTGGGTCAACGGCTGTTGGTCAACAGGCATAGTTAGTTTGCTACTGCGGGGCAGCCTCCATTCATCCCTGCTGTCACGCTTTGTTGCGTTCCGCTGGATTCGATGAATGTCAGGCTCAGAGGAGAGCGCCTGTCCTGGGCAAGCATTCGCTCTCTTTTCCCCTCTGCCTCGGCGCTCGGCGTCTACTAATCACGATGGTTTCCAATAATATTCAGCTACCGGCAATGCGAGAGTCACCCTCTTCGGGGGCTTTCGTTGCTCGGCAAGGTTCGCGTTCCAGGCAGGCGCGACCTGGTCGTCATCCTGCTACTGCCTACATAGCCTTCGCCTGTTGGAATGTTCGTTCTCTCGGTGTTCATACAGACAGCCTCTCCTCCTTGCCAAGAAAGTCAGCAGTGGTTGACCTCGAGCTTACTCGTCTCGGTAGAAGTGTTGCAGCTCTCAACAAAACCTGGCTAACTGGCTGTGGTTCTATTCGAGAGGAAAATTTCACCTTCTTTTGGAGCGGTTACGCAGATGATGCGAGGCCTATGGATGATACAGGCTTCGCAGTTCGGAATTCCCTACTCCCTTGCACTCAGCAACCTGCCGCCATCTCTCCTCGCCTCATGTCCTTGCGCATGTGTCTGAGCACTGGTTACGTCACTCTAATCTCTGCCTATGCACCTACCCTGACGTCTACCCCAGAGTCTGAAGACGACTTCTATCTTCAGCTTAGTGAGTTGTTGCACAATATCCCGGCCGGTGATGGCATCATTCTCCTTGGGGACTTCAATGCCCGCATTGGTTCTGACTACGGTACGTGGAAGAATGTAATTGGCCCGCATGGTGTTGGGAGAATGAACGACAATGGTCAACGTCTCCTCGAGCTCTGCGCTTCGTACAACCTATGCATTGCCAACACCTTCTTCGCAGGCTCTGTTCGCTCCAAGGTCACCTGGAAACACCCACGCTCACAGCACTGGCACCAACTGGACCACATCATTGTCAGACAGAGACAACTGCACGATACCACCCACTGCCGCAGCTTGCATTCTGCTGATTGCAATACAGACCATGCCCTTGTTCGCTGTAAGCTTCGTTTACTACCCAAGAAGTTCCATCGTGCAACGCATAGACCATTGCCTGCTATTGACACTGTCTCAACTCACGACATCAGTCATGTTACTCAGTTTCAAGAGCTCCTTTCTGGTAATTTCAGCTCAGCACCAATCTCTGTCAACCCTGAAGGTGCTTGGTCTAGGTTCCGTTCAGTAGTCTACAACAGTGCTGTGTCTGCCTTTGGTCGCTGCTCACGAAAGCAACCTGACTGGTTCCGGGACAGCGCGGACATACTGCTCCCTGCACTAGAGAACAAACGGTCAGCCAGAAACAAATGCCGCTTGATCAACACACGCTCCTCAAAAGCTGCCCTTCGGGCTGCCAAGAGCACTGTCCAGCGTCTTACTCGAGCAGCTTTGCAACGCTACTGGTCTCACCTGAGTGATCGCATCCAACGTTGTGCCGACTCTGGTGATCTACGCGGCTTGTACCAAGGCATTAAGGAGGCAATTGGTCCTACCCCAAAGAAATCTGCTCCTTTACTGTCGTCCACTGGTGCCATCCTCACAGACCAAACAGCACAGCTTGACCGGTGGGTAGAGCACTATAGCTCACTTTACAACAGCGATGCTGCAGTCAGTACTTCTGCAATATCTGCCTTACCTCAGCTTCCCGTCCTGAAAGAGCTGGACAATTCCATCACCTTCGATGAAGTGAAACATGCCATCAACGGCTTAAAGAACAACAAGGCTCCTGGCACTGATAGCATCCCTCCAGAGGTACTTAAGAAGGGTGGTAATATCTTGGCTGCAGAGCTCCACGCTGTTCTCCTGACCTGCTGGCAATCCCAGTTTATACCACAGGATCTAAAGGATGCAAACATCATAGCCCTCTACAAAAACAAAGGTAACCGACAAGACTGCAATAACTACAGAGGCATCTCACTGCTGTGCTTAGCTGGGAAGGTTTTTGCTCGAGTGCTGTTACCTCGGCTACAAGTCATTGCCAACATAATCCTTCCCGAAAGCCAGTGTGGCTTTCGCCCATCCCGCTCCACTGTTGACATGGTGTTTTCCTTGAGACAACTCCAGGAGAAGTGTGTTGAACAGCGGCGACCTCTGTACATGGTCTTCATCGACTTGACTAAGGCCTTTGATAACGTGAGTCGTTCAGGCCTGTTTTCCATCCTAAAGCGCTTGGGCTGCCCAGATAGGCTTTTGTCTATTCTGATGTGTTTTCATGACGACATGCACGTAACAGTCCAGTTCAATGGCTCAAGATCTACTAAGTTTGAAGTTCGTCGGGGCGTCAAGCAGGGGTGTGTACTTGCTCCTACCCTGTTTGGGATCTTTTTCTCAGCCCTGCTACACCGTGCATTTCCCGAACCATCTGGTATCCTACTTCACACACGCAGCTCCGCAACTCATTTGCCAGTGCTTGCTCGGAGTTTGGCATGATCATCAGCCTTGGCAAGACAATGGTGTTATCGCAAGGCCCAGGTCCCCCTCCCATGATCACCATCAATGGCACACCTCTGAGCGTGGTCAACAAATTTCAGTATCTGGGTTCTTCAGTTACCAGCACCAACTCCCTGGATACCGAACTTGACTCCCGAATAGGTAGGGCTGCAACCACCTTTGGCCGACTCCGTGCTCGTGTTTGGGACAACCGGGCTCTTTCCATCAAGCTGAAGATTCGCATCTACGTATCCTGTGTCCTTAGTGTGCTACTCTACTGCAGTGAGTCATGGCCGACCTACCGCCGTCAGGAACGTCGACTAAACGCGTTCCATTTCCGCTGCTTACGTTCAATTCTTGGAATCTCCCTGGATACCGAACTTGACTCCCGAATAGGTAGGGCTGCAACCACCTTTGGCCGACTCCGTGCTCGTGTTTGGGACAACCGGGCTCTTTCCATCAAGCTGAAGATTCGCATCTACGTATCCTGTGTCCTTAGTGTGCTACTCTACTGCAGTGAGTCATGGCCGACCTACCGCCGTCAGGAACGTCGACTAAACGCGTTCCATTTCCGCTGCCTACGTTCAATTCTTGGAATCTCCTGGCAAGACCAAGTCTCAAACCCTGCCATTCTTGAGCTCACATGAGTCAACGACATGCTCACATTGCTGTCAGCTCGCCGCCTTCGTTGGTCTGGTCATGTCTGCAGACAAGAGGACGGTCGACTGCCGAAGGACATCTTCTTTGGGGAGCTGGCTCATGCTCCTCGCCCCCGTGGTCGTCCAAAACTCCGTTACAAGGATGTTCTAAAGCGTGATCTGCGAACCTTCCAAATTCCAGTCACCTCCTGGCAGACCGTGGTGCAGGACCGCACTCGTTGGCGTTCCGCTGTCCATCTTGGCCGCTCTGCTTCCTCTGCCGCCTATATTGCTGATTGCGAGAATCGTCGTGCAGCTAGACACCGAGCTACACCGTCGTATTCGACGGGATAGGCCACTACTACTACTACTCGTAGTGTTCTCGAGGTTGGGCTGAAGTTACATCGGATTTTACGGGATGGCCCCGGATTGATTGTTGGCCTGTTTTACGGCCGTTTTCATTACGCGGTACTCGATGGTACGTCAGAGTGAGCTCCGGAGTCCACGAAGTGTCCACGAGTTGGCCACGAAATGCTCACGGACTATACGTAGTACACTACGAGCTGGCGCCGTAGTCACCACTGATACCACGTAGTAGTCTCGAGCTGGCGCCAAAGTCATCACGGGATGCAATCGGGATGGCCAGGAGATGTCGCCGGCGTGTAGTCTGTGAATTCCAGGAAACGGACATGAGAACGGGTTGGTCCCGTGGTGTTTCCGAGGTGGCCACGGATTACGTACGAAGTAAAAATGGGTACCACGAAATAAAAACGTGCTGGCATCAAAAAACGGACCAAAAAAACGGAGACCACGGATACTGTTGAAAAAATTTGATTGGTGTGAGAGGGGCATTACTAATTTCCCAATCAACAGGATCTAGCAGGTTTATCTTCAAAGGGAGCTACAAAATAGTCAGAAATCCCACCCCTGAAATCTCATCCCTCCCTAGACTTGAAGTTAGGTCTAGTTGGCCTGTTTTTTTTTAACCGGCGCGGTACACCGTCCCCAGATATGGACAGATTTACAGGGGTGGCGGAAAAAAAAGTTGTTCTTTTTAATTACCATTTTGCGTAGTTATTTCATCTGGCTCAGTATTGGCAATGTGCATTTCACATCAGAATGTTAACATGTGGGCTTAGTGAAATAATATCACAAACTAGTGATATAACCAGCTAGTTTCGAACCCCATATGTATTCCGTACTCGTGCACTCTAAATCCCTGGTCAGATTGATCTATAGTCTGAGAATACTATCCCCCGCAGGCGCGGTTCTAGAGCCTATAATTTAGGGGGCTAGCAGGGGTGGATCCAGATTTTTTTGCAAAGAGGCGTGCTGACATGTAAACCGTTTTTTTCTCAGGACACTGAGCCTCCGAAAATCAATAAGGGGGTGGGGGGCTCGTACCATATTTTCAATTGGGAGCGCTGACAATACAAATTCCCCCTTCTAGTGTCAGGGAGCGGGGGGGGGGGGGGGGGGGGGTCCGCGCCTCTGGATCCGCGCCTGAACGACTATAATGAATAGTTTCTTGGGGTACACCCTTCGCATGTGACGTCACCTTCTAAGATTGGCTACCGCTATTTCATTTTTTTGGGCAATTTTCTTCTCTTCGGGAAGGGGGGAGGGGGGGGGGGGGGGGGCTAAAGCCCCCAGCCCCTTAGAACCGCGCCCGATCACCCGTTGTTCAATGGAGCCCTCTCCGTATCCAACGTCTGATAATATATCTAAGCAATGCAAATTGTATGCGACCCCGCGCGCCAGCCAATCGGAGTCGACTTTAAAAATTGTGACGTCATGTCGATCGGAAATGTGGACTATTAAGCTGTTGATAGGTCATTTTGGTTGGCATGTTGACATGCTAAACGAAATAAACACATGATTATATAAAAGTTTCTCTTCTTGCGCATTTAGGTTGTGTACTTGGCTCGCAATCCAAAGGAGCCAATCGGAGTCGACTTTAGAAATTGTGACGTCATGTCGATCGGAAATGTGGACTATTAAGCTGTTGATAGGTCATTTTGGTTGGCATGTTGACATGCTCAACGAAATAAACACGTGATTATATAAAAGTTTCTCTTCTTGCGCATTTAGGTTGTGTACTTGGCTCGCAATCCAAAGGACACGCTTGTCTCGTACTTCAAGTTAACTAAACCAAGTATGCCGCCTACGTTCCAGGACTTCAGTGTGTTCCTGTGGCTTTATTATGCCGGAGAAAGTTAGTTTTCATTATTTGATGATTTTCCTTTTAAATGTGATTTGATTAAACCTCATCTAAATCACCAAAATAACTTTAATAACAATACATATGTTTAACTTCAGTTTAAGGCAAAGGGATTAACTGGAGGAGCCTCCCCTTTAAATGACTCATGTTGGGAAGGCTCCGGCATATCCAATCACCCAAGCTTGGAACCTATACGGCGTGCCAGTTTTAAACATATTTCGTTGTATGTACAGTACACCAAAGTCATGGAGTCGGGGGTTCGAATCCAGTCGTAGGTCATAAAGTGTCCTTGGGCAAGTCACTTTACACGCACCTGTCTCTCTTGAACATGGTTTTTAGCTGGAGAGTAACCTGCGATGAATTGCTGGCATACCATCCAGGGGAATAGAGATCTTCTCAGTCGGTTCATGCGAAAGAAACTTGAAGATGAAGGCCTGCCCGAATGGCCGTACGGCTCGGGCGTTCACTCACCCCTTTCCTTTCTTATCTGATTTAACTTAATGCTACCTCCCCTCTGTCTTGATGGAACAGAAAGAGAAACTTTTGCTTAATTCTTCTCTTTCCAGTGATCTTTGGGTCGTGGTTTGATCACGTGCTCGGCTATTGGCGACAAAAGGACCATCCGAACATCTTGTTTATGAAGTACGAAGATCTCCACAAGGCACGTTTGAGAATGGGACGTCAGTGAATTCTGTACCTCTAGGCCTATGAAGTATCTACGTTCATAAACGGACATGCGTCACATGTACACAGCATTATAAAATCTCCCCAAAGTTCCAAAATGTCCAACTTTTACGGAATATGGTGCATATAATAACTTCATCAGGACTCATCTGAAATTGCACGCTTTGTCGTGTTCACCGTATGAATGTTCGTTAATACAGGGCCGGCCTTGCCTAGTTATACCTCAATGACTGACCGACTGACTGACTCGTCTGGCTCACTGACCCACCAATGACACTTGTGACTTACAATGGTCTGGGACCAGCCGTAAGAGGCATGCATATAAGTCTCTGTACTTTTGACGTCACACTTGGTTTACCCGTATGCTTTCCTATGGAAGCCTGGTGGGGACAAAGCTTTCGTATAGCCCAAAATAGAAAGTGCACACGTAAACAAAGAGTGACGTCATCAGTACAGTAATATTGAAAATTTGATGTCATCAGTACAAAGGCTTATTCAATGCAGGAGTTACACCACATGCGAATTAGTCTGGTCCCACTTGTTTCATGTACTTGACATGTAGGCAATAAGTCGGTTTCCATGCGAACAGTGATAGTGAATTATCGTTTCCATCAATTCGTTTAATTCCACTTCAGCTTATTCTACGAACTTTTCAGCCATTCTGATTCAATCAATAGAATTGTGTGCGCTGTTGTAGGGCCAGCTCTGTGCTTGTCCTGCTGGGCAAAAATGTAATAATTTTAAAAATTCGTATTTTCTTTTTCACACTCTGAAATCAAAGGACCTCAAGGGATCCATACGCACAGTAGCAAAGCACGTTGGGAAGGATTTATCTGATGACGTCATCGACCACATCACTGAACGCGTGACCTTTGGAGGAATGAAGAGCACATATGATAAGTTTACAGACGTGTATGGCGAAGCCGAGGCGCTGCAGATGACCAACATGTTCGGAGAAGACACGGTGTTCCTCAGAAAAGGTAAAGGGATTAACGAAAGGATCAACGTAAAGACAGAATGAGTGCTTTCGATTACTTAATTCCCCCGCGCTTACTCGTGCAAGCGCGACAGCGTTCGATTTACCTCTCACGTGACTTCTCGCGCTTACTCGAGCGACTCGCCGAGCCGGTTACTTGGGTAAGTATCCCATAAGACCATGCAATAAACATGGCTGCCAGAGCTACGTACGTCTATTGTCAGCGCGTCCCCGCGTACCTTCAATGGGCGTGGACCTAGACCTATAGCTCTATCTAGACAGTTAATTCGGATGCAGCCTGTGTCATGTCAAAGTTCAACCTTCTAGGTTGGACAATACATTGAGCAGGAGCCCAAGACCAAGCAAACTTTTGGAGAGAAAACAAAAATCATCAGCTCCACAACTGCCACCATCCTTGGCAGAACGCAAAGCATTATGGGAATCCGTCCCATTGAAGTTGGGCAACTGCCTAAACTGTTGACTTCGTCAATTTTTTACCGAAATTAACCAACATCAATTTCATGCAGACGTACAAATAACATTTCCAAAAAGTTGTTTACAGTCGAAATGCCATACTCCGTCTAAGATGGGTATTACACGTTTTGTTCATGTTGGCAGTTTCTTGGGAATCTCGTATGAAGGACAATTCCCAATATTTTGAAGCTTTTGAATCCTACAGAATTGATCTTCAGTTTAAAATTGGTCCTTAATGTTTTATTCTTTTTGTTTTGTTTCTCCCGGTTGTTGACAGGAAAAGTCGGTAACTGGAAGAACACTTTCACAGAGGAGCAGAGCGCCCTCTTCGACAAGATCTACGCCCTACGAATGGATGGGACCGAGTTGGAGTTTGACTTTGACCTGTAAGCGACGGTTTACAGTGCGCATTCGCAGTCAACAACCCAGATTAAAACAATAATTAATTATAAACGCTGCGATAACAATTTGTTTGTTTACCATTGAAGCACTTTACAATAGTGGTATTCGTTTAGAAATTGAAACTAAGCTTATTTTCTTTATGAAAACAACATTTTAAATGTTAAAACATTTGTCCGGTGAAATGAAAATAGAGATCAGATGTATAAGGAAAAACAATATTTGACCTTTAGTGACCTTCCAAATGTCAATGACCTTTGTATACATATTTATCGTTATTATGATTTACTCTTTAAATCCCCACTTTTCAACACCAAGTCTAAATGTCAGGTGGTCATGCTATGATTTGTTTTCATAATTAAGGGCATTTCATATTTGACCTCTGGTGACCTTCAAGAGGTCAATAAACTTTGTACGCCCTATTCATAGATATTTATAAGATTTATTATTCAAAACCCAACTATTTCATGACTCAAGTCTAAAATTCGGCTCTTTGTGACATGAAAATAATTTTCAGATATGGGGACATCATATCTGACCTTTGGTACCCTGTGATAGGTCAATGAACTTTTTATACCTTATTTTTCGCTGTTTTTTATATTTTTTCGTCAAAACACCTTTTTTCGTGACCAAAGCCTCAATATTGCAAAAGAAAGGTATTGCACCTATTATTATACAGTCATGTAATGAATTCAAATCCCACAAAAAAATTGGGGTGACATCTGACCTCCCTTTCCCTTTTTCAATTGGCAGACGCAACATGTTGCGACTGGGATAGAAGACTGTTGGACTTTTTTTTACAATGTAATATGCACAAATAGTCCGGTCAATTTACGTTTTGACCTAGAACAGTATACAAATAACGAATGTTTGTGAGTGCGATGGTAAGAATAATTTCATGAGGTGACAGATTGAATGTTCTATTCCACAAGGCGAAGCCGAGTGGAATAGAACATTCAATCTGTCACCTCGTGAAATTATTCTTTCCATCGCACGAACGTAAAACATTCGTTATTTGTTTTATACAACACCTGAATAAATTCTCGTCATTTGATTGGTAAATTATAAACTACAATTTATTTTGATTTTAAAGATGTTGAACTACCCCTTCACGAAAATGTTTGAACCCAACGTTGTAGCGCTGGCTCTTTGGAACAATACGCACTACGCTGAACGCGCACACCAGCATTCATTTTGCCCGCAAATACCGCGTCATGGAACAAGCGCAAAGTGAAACGGTATAACGCATGGGTATAACGCATGGTCACACCGTGCATTATACCGAATAATAATATGTCACGTGATCTACAATTCACCAATCAGATGACGGGGATTTATTCAGGTGTTGTATAAATTGCAATAGAAACCATTCATCTTCAAATAAACGTACAAACAACATGTGACAAATCTGATTTTTTCTATGGAGTGGAAAGGTGTTTTTCAAGCACATTTTGTAGATCAAAATTTGAGTTTTTTGTACCTGAACTATGGAGGGCGCCCTTTCTTAATTCGTCTGGTGACTTTCCTCGATGTACGTACATTGTAACAGCTAATGCTCAGGATTTATGACCACGTGCGACTGCGGCAGACGACGCACCGACGGTAACTCGGAAAAGTTTGATTTCACATGATACTGAGTTTATTTTTGCTGTCTAAACTTATTGAGAGTTAATTATATATTGAAAACCGTATTTGTGTGTGATTGGATTAATATTTACTATTTAGGCCCTTGAATGGAATATTATCTGTTCTTAATCAGAAATTCACACCGTTGCAAGGCCGGGCAGCGTAATGTGCATGTAAATGCGCACGTAGCTATAGATGAATATACACGAACTGCTTGCTTGTTAACAGAAAATTTAAGGTATGCCATGGATATAAAGTAGGGCAAGTGGCCGGGAAGCGCGGGAAGATTCACTTATTAATGTCAGGGCAGGCCAAAAGTGTCCAAACTGAATTTCACTGCAAGAACTGCAATCCGATTTGTAAAGAATGCTTCAGTTCAATAAATGATGAGAGGACAGTTTTCACGAAGAGACAATTTTGGCAAAAATCAGTATATTTTCGAAATTCTTTTTTTGGCCGAAATCGATTAAGTGTATTGCAGCGGACATCTTGGCGAATTTATTTTGTCAAAATCAGATGAAATCATTGAGATCATGAGAATCAATAAAGGGAAAATTTCACCCAAGTCGTATTTTCAGTTTTCACGAAGAGACAATTGTAGCAAAAATGCATGTTGTTCTATGGGGACAAAATAACGCGCGAGTGCGATTTTGAGTTTTCACGAAGAGACAATTTTCAAGCGCGCGCAAGCAAAACGACGCGTGCGGGCAAAACGAAGCGCGTGTTGGATTTTGAGTTTTCACGAAGAGCCAATTTGTGCGTGTTTGGATAGCGGAGAGTTTTAGTTTTCACGAAGAGACAATTAACTATGAACGTTAATTGCTCCTCAATTAATTGGTCTATTGACTTGCATTTGGTACAATGTGTTAGTGTGAGATTTCAGCTTACTATCGGTATAAATAAATAATCAACATGTCCTCTTAAATTAGGCGAAATCTTCAGTTTAAAAAGGGTTCAACTTTAAAGTCGATTTTCTCAAAACTATGTTTCAACGCCCCGTGGCCAAAATTGTCTCTTCGTGAAAACTCTGACGAAGTGACTGCCGCAATCCAGCACCTGGCCAGGGAGCTGATTGTAGTAATCCGATGTTGATGCATGATGGGATGCAACACACAGTGACAAAACAAGGTTTGGAGTGTTCCTCAGAATGTGCAGGCTTCGAATCATAGGTAGCTGTTCCAATGTGACTTTGCCTGATGAGGATGGACTGGTAGGATCAATTGAAGTTTGAACAAAATCGCGCAGAGCAACACGTGGCCAACACCCTAATTGAATTTTACATATGTAGGCCTACACCCTAATTTTAAATTATATGTAGAAAACTGCAAAACATAGGCGTCAACACTTTGATTTTTTTTTCTAAGGAGCAAACTTTTTAGGGTTTGTCCCCCCCCCCACACAAAAAGACCAAACTTGGGAACAAGTTAAGAAGCAACGCTTTATTTTTCATTCCTCTACAAGATTTTTTTTCCCGAGGGGTAATCTTTGAAGATTTGCTCTTTTTTTCTTTTTTTTTCGCTGTAAAAACAACATTGGATACAAGTTAAACAAGTTATAAAATGTTTTTTTTTCCTTTGGGCAAAAATTTAATTTTCATTTCGTTTAAAGTTCTTCCCTGAAGAGCAAACTTTGCAGATCTGTCCGTTTTTTCTTTTTGTTTTGCTGTACAAAACTGGGGAACAAGATAATAAATTGTAACATTTTTGTTTGTATTAATTAATGTGAACGTTTTTATTCCATAGGAGCAAACTTTGAGAATTTTTTGGCACCACACCCCCCCAAAAAAACCCCCCACCAAATTTGTAACAAGTTTTGAGGTTGCAACGTTTTCATTTTCATTTCTCTGATTTTTTTTCTCGAGGAGTAAACTTTGAAGATGTTCTTTTTCTTTTTTTTTCTGTTACTGGGGAACAAGAGGTTGCAATATTTTTAGTTTTCTTTCTCTGAAATGTTATTTCTTTCCTTAGAAGAAAACTTGGGAAACATGTTAAGAATTGAGCAAACTTTGAAGATTGTTCCTTTAATTGTTAACTTTTTGCTCACTAAAAAGAAATGGGAACAAGTGAAGAGGTTGCAAGTATATTCAAGCCCGTAACCTTACCTCAGACTGGGAGGATCGGGAGAGGGGGGATTCAAAGCCTTACTTTACCATTTCTTGAGATTGTTTCATTATTACTACATCAATATTGAAATAAAAAATTAACTAAATGATTTTTTTACATTGTCTTTCTTCTGTTAAATTACTTTTCTCGAAAGGTCTTCTATTCAGCGAACGTTTCACTGCTCGATTAACATGATTTAATCCAATTATATTTGTTGTTTTTTTCCGGCTTTTACGGTCAAGGGTGGATTCGGGGGGCACCAACGGGGACAATTGCCCCCACAAAACGAACCTGGTTTTTTTTAAGTGACGGAGGCGGGCACTGCGTAGGCCTATACACCACCATCTTTTAATTTAAAAAAAAATGTCAAAGTGGCCAGAAATTGCCTAAGATAGCACCACAGAGCATCTACAATCCAACAACTTTTTCGGGTCCCTTGAGCGGGCCCCGAACCACACGCCGTAATTTTTGGGACCCACTTTCGAATTCAAATGATGGTCCAAAAATTGACATTATTTGAATTCGACACGGCCAAATTTTGACGTTTAGAGCAACTGCCGAGGCACTTTTGCCGCAAATTCGGCAAGACTTGCAAGACAAGAAGAGCGGCAGTGCTCTAGTCGAATTTATGCCGTGTCGAATTCAATTTGCACGTATATACGTCCCGGTGTCACGGTCTCACTTCTCCAGCGTGCCATCTTCCCCGGGTGGATTTGGCGGGTAATTGAGCAGTCGTTACAGTGCATGTTACATGAGCACTATTCATGCTCATGTGTCCGCTGTGCTAACTTTTCCTCGGGCTGTGTTGTTGTTGTTGTTGTTGGCTGTGTTGTTGTTGGCTGTGTTGTTGTTGTTGTTGTAAAGTCTACCGGTCCATACAGTGAGGGACACCCAATAATGCGTTATGTAACACCTCTTGTGGGTCAAGTCACATTGCAAGCATTCTGAAGTTGTGTTCCCATCGTCATTGCGTGTGCGTTGAGGAAAAATTAAGAAGTGTGTTCCTTGCTCGGTCGTGGTCCATCACATGCATGTCCAATTTGCAACCACGTTCAACCACGGTTGAAAATAAATGTGTATGATGTTGAGCAGGATGTTGAGAGTTAATTGCGCGCCCCACCATGCCTAGGTCTGGACCAGTACAACCCAGAACTCGGCACACACATAAAGTTGGCGAAAGTAAACACTATACTGCGCAATTTTGTGCATGCGTGTTGAAGCGAAATTTCCAACTTGGAGAAGCTAGCACGCCGGAGAAGTGAGACCGTGACACCGGCCCAATTCAGAAACACAGTGGTCCAGTTTTATAACGCGCATGCGCATATCCCGCCCGCCGGGCCAGTTGTTTATGTTACATTTACACTGTCAGCATTAAAACAAGATGGCGGCGCCCATGGAAATTAGGTCGATATTATTTCTCAAATTTCGTGGATTGACGAGGATCTTCGGTCTGCGTTTTAGAGCAACTGCCGCACTTCTGCCGCTTTTTTGCCGAATGCAATGAATTGAATTCGACACGGCAGAAGGTCGACGTTGGGAACAGCACGGCAGCGACTATTGTGTACGACCATCTGACCTACCATACACACATTATTTGTGTACTTATATATACACTTATATAAGGTAATGCATACAATACCGCACAGCTATTTTTAACGGATGCGTGAGCACGCTCGGTTATTGTGGTGAAGTAGTCTATCTGTGGTTATACCCAAGTGTGCACAGCGTACGTAGTGTCGCCATGAACGTTGCCGAGCAAATCCAGGCGTTGATGCCGGACTTGATCAACGGAAAAACGCACCAACAACTGGAGGAGGAGTTGGCAGCTGGTGACAAGCAGATGGGCTGCCATGTCGTGAATGGGATCAAGTTCTCATTCACTTTGCAGCAGTCCAATCTGGAAGCCCTGAAGACCTTTGAGGTGCGCGATGACGACGTGTATATATTCACCTATCCAAGATCAGGTGAGTATTTGATGGGCATGCAGGGATCGGGTCCGGGTGCGCTTTAGGCCGCCACCGTCCAAATTCAGTCTTGGACCATTACGTCTAGGAGCACTCAAATTCCTTAATTAAGGAAGCTACAGGGATAATAGGTTTTTCACTTTATCATCCCCCCCCAAAAAAAATGCAACTGTCATGAGCTACGAGAAGTAAATTTTATGCATTTTTCGGATATCCTTCATTACCAGTGAAAATTCATTAACATAACAAAATGCCTGGTTTTACTTGTTATGTTCAATGATAGGAACTCATTGGGTTGGAGAGATAGTTCAGTATATTCTCCACGATGGGAAGGCCGATTTCGACCGCACTTTCATGACCAATGGGCTAGAGCTGACGATAGCAAATGGCCCAACTGAAGTTGAGAGTGTGACCCCCGGGTACAAGACGTACGCAGCCATGGCATCGCCACGGTGCATCTTAAGCCACTGCTTGGAGAGTTTTCGACCTCCTCAGATCTTAACTAAGCAAGCAAAGGTAATGTAGCCTACGTATTATCCACAAATATTTATTGTCACCGATAACCAAACAACGCCAGCCGAGGGGAGCCCCAAAATATCATATTTTGTTTTATCGTTTCTTTAACAGATGGTGTATGTTGCACGAAACCCGAAAGACATGATCGTTTCGTGGTTCAACATATTCAAGATAGCTTCACACTGGACCTTCAATGAAGTGTTCTGGGCATTCTGTCTCGAGAAAAGTGAGCTTTCGGTAGAAAACTAAAATAAAATGCTTCCACAACACACTTTGTTTCATGCTCCTAGATCTCCCACAATACATAGTCGGATATACGGGTGGGGATTCGGGGGGAGGGGTGTTTGCGGTCTAAGCTCTGCCCTTGGACCTTAAAAATAGGAAAATCGTGCAGAAAAAACATTGGACATATCCGTCTCCCCTTGGATCCGACCCTGAATGAGCTTTGACATTTTGTTGGTATCCCCTATAGGTACAGTGCCTATAGTGCCTATTGGATAATCTGGGCCTGTGTATCAAGAGCGCTTGGAATTTCAGTAAATAACTTGATGTGTATTTTAGCACTGCTGTTGAGCTCCTTGACTCACTTCTCTTGCCCTCTCCTTTACTCTGTTCTTTTTTCTTTGTCGTTTTACTCTAGTTTTTCCACTTATACTTCGTGTCACCTGAACATTTTGAACCGTCACACTTCATACCACTTTGTTGTTTGTGTTTGATGTTTCGTATACACTCTGAAAACACTCTACTTAAATTTGACTTGAAAACAGCCAAACTTGCACCAGCTGACCTGTAGCTGTAGCTAGGGTGGATCGGGGGGGGGGGGGGGGGGGGGTTCAACGGGGGCCATGCCCCCACCCAAAAAAAGAAAGTTTTGTGTTTAAGTGACGTCGCAATAAAGGCAGGCACTGCGTACATCATCATCTTTTTCTCAAAAAGATTTGGTTAACGTGGTCAGAAATTGCCTCAGATCGCACCACAGAACATCTAGAATCAAAAAATTGAAACCCACGCCGTAATTTTTGGACCCACTTTTTGGGGGACCAAATTTTGTTTGCCACCCCACCCCCCCCCAGAAATTGTGTTCTGGATGTGGGTGTATAAGTTAGACTATTTTCTAGTCAAATTTAACTAGGTGCGTTTACAGTGTACAAACCACTGATTAGCGAACTGACTGTAATTATGTCGTCAACTGTTTCTTGATGTCTGCAGTGAATTATGGATCTTGGTTTGATCACGTGCTCGGCTACTGGAACCAGCGCAACGATGAGAATCTTCTATTTATAAAATACGAAGATTTACATAAGGTAATATTCCTATTAGAAACTTCGCCTGATTCAAATGTCCGTGCCATGGCGCAGATTATTAGGAAGGCAATCTCGAAAGCTAATATCTTTTGTCTATCCGTTCCGTTAACAAGTACCCCGTCACCGGCAAAGAAAGTACAGTTGGGGGTGACCGACCGACGCCATCTTGCCTGACTGCAATTTCGCCGCGACGCGCGGCGCGCCGTACCACTGCGTGTACATAGTACAAATCCCCTGTACGTGCGTCACACACAAGGAACGGTGCGCGTCAACCAGCTAAATGTCCCGCCCATGGGGCGTCGTTGCTAGGTAAAAGGGCGCCCTAGTCTTTCGTTGGCGCACGGAGCCCATATAAATGCCACAGTCATCGTCGGCCAGCAGTCACTGTCGCTGTCGAGATGCTGGTAGCCTAAAATCATTTTCTTTCAACTTTTCAAATATCGTCAATGTCACTGTATCAACGCTGTGAGTTTTAAATGAGCATATATTGCTCTCGTTCAAGCTATAGTCCATCATTTGCAGCCATCCGAAAAGTAAATGGCGTAATTATTGTTGAAAATCATACTTGGTTGAAAGATAGTGGGGGAACTAAACTCCCTGTGAAATTATTCTTTCTGGGAAGCTGTCATTTTGAAGTAATCAACGAAAGAAGGCATTTCCAACGGTGATTCTTAAGAAGCACCGTAGGAAAATATAAATTAGTAGTTCGTTTTGTTATTCAGCGCAGCGCGCACAAGTATTGGAACGACGCATACGCGCGCGCGGTCGTTATAATTCGTCGGATCAGTGCGCGACGTCGCGCAATTCAAAACAATTCAAAACATGATTCAGTAACTTTTGATTTGAAATTGAGATCTTAGAATGCTGTTTTTCTCGGAATGTACAGCTGAAGCTTAGCTGAAACTTCATCAGGTTAGTTGTTCAGTACCCTTCTTTAGATTTTGAGCACTTTTGTTGCTTCAAACGAACAAAATGCACAAATTACAAAATGATGGACTGTAGCTTTAATTGCGCAATAGTTGGTCTTGCTGCCGATTTCACGAACGTTTACGTAGTTGCGTGAGTCGACTTATATAGGCCTACATTTCGTCCGTTTTCGAATGATATTCGCGTTAACGAATGTTAAGTAACTGAGCCACCTTTCTATAATTATGCACGTTTTCAGTCCATTATTAGTCTTTCGTTGCGTTGAAAGATTAGATTAGAAAGGCCAATACTTGTATATTCAACACGACGGTTTTTTGGAGGCCATGTATAACATGACGAAAGTCAAAATGTTCCATCTCAAAAATTTTCGCTGTAGCACAGTCCGGTGCCTGGCTCAACGAGTGGCCCATAACGTTGTTTGTAACTAGGAACTCGACGGGCTGCGTGATAGTGTGTGTGGTTCACCGTTGATCGATAATCGCGCTGACAGCGTTGTTGGGTTTTCTTGTCCGCGATGTGGGTATGTTTCTGTCTACAAAGGGAATGATATCAACGTTTCAACGTTGGTGGCGCTACCCCCCCCCCCCCAGTTTTCGCATCGGTTGATTGGTTGCTGGTCCCGTCATTTTGTTAATTCGGAATTGAAGATGACAAGGAGTAATTCGAGGATAAAAGCTTGGCCCAAAACCTGAAATAGTAATGGAAAGAATTACAGAGCCTAGAACCAAACATTTCAGTCAACTTTGCGCTTCACCTATGCAGGACCTCAGAGGATCCATTTGCAAACTAGCTAAGCATCTCGGGAAGGATCTACCCGATGACGTCATCGATGACATTCTGGAGCGCGTGACCTTTGGTGGGATGCAGAAGTCTTATCAACAGCTTGAGGAAGAACGCGGGGAGGAGGGGCGGCGGATGACGCGTCGCCGTGGGATACCACATCTCAGGAAAGGTGAGGTACTGGAAAGAAAAGTTGCCAAATAACCAAGAAATGTGGTGTTGTTCCTATTCTTTATCAGTGATGTAGGACTCGAGTCCAGGAGTCGGACTCGAGTCACATTTTTCGTGCGAGTCACATTTTTCGTGACTCGACTCGACTCGAGTCACATTGGAAAATGACTCGGACTCGGACTCGACCATGATGACTCGGACTCGAGCTTGGTGACTCGTGACTCGAGTCACGTATTTTCATCAAAAAGAAAAAAAACATAACGTAGGGATGGGAAGGGAGCATTCATGAATAATGTTTGGATGATAAAACATGGAGGGAAGGGATGGAGGAGGATTTCTTTTTAGGGATGGGAATTAAAAGGAAAACACATTTTTATAAACAACATGTAGCTTACACACGTACACAAGGTATACACTGCGATTTACTTAAAAGACAGAACGGATGATTGAAAAATTATCTGAAAACAACTGAGAACAAGTGACTCGTGACCCGGACTTGGACTCGAGGCTTGTGACTCGGGACTTGGACTCGAGGCTTGTGACTCGAGACTCAGACTCGGACTCGAGGCTTGTGAATCGAGACTCGGACTCGGACTAGAGGCTTGTGACTCGAGACTCGGACTCGGACTCGAGGCTTGTGACTCGAGACTCGGACACGGACTCGAGGCTTGTGACTCGAGACTCGGACTTGGACTTGACGCTTGTGACTCGAGACTCAGACTCAGACTCGAGGCTTGTGAACCGAGACTCGGACTCGAGGCTTGTGACTCGAGACTCGGACTCGGACTCGAGGCTTGTGACTCGAGACTCGGACACGGTCTCGAGGCTTGTGACTCGAGACTCGGACTCGGACTCGAGGCTTGTGACTCGGGACTCGGACTCGGACACGACGTTGGTGACTCGACTACAACACTGTTCCTTATTCCATTTAATATATTCCCCAGTCCTATACTCCAGTTTCTTCACGCGAATCTGTAAGTTCAACAGGAAGTTGCGTAGGTTTCTGCCTTTCTATCCCCAACGACCCGACAGTCTCGATTTCCAAGTTTCCACCGTGCTTTGAGGAAGATTATTTTGGCTGTTTGAGATTTTCTATAATTTGGCATGCAGTGACATTCTAATAGGCCTACCAATGATATGAATCAGCGGAGTGAGTACGCTGCAGAAGCTGAATTTGTAAGCAAAGGAGAGTCTTGGAGATCAAACATGATTGTTTGGATTATGTTATAGGATTTAAAAAAAAATTGTCTTACTATTTCCATCGCAGGACAAGTCGGCGACTGGAAGAACACTTTCACGGTGGCACAGAGCGCCCTCTTCGACAAGATCTACGCCCTGAAGATGAAAGGGACCGGCTTGGATTTCGACTTTGAAGTTTGAGCGCCCCGAAGTGGGCCGAGCACCACAGCTACCTCTCCATATCCTGTTCTATAAAGGTTCCTTTTGTTATTATACCCATGGAAATAACCGCTGTTCAATACATTGAAAAACGTTTATGTGTGTATGTGTACATGATCTTGTCATAATGCGTCGAGGACTTGCGACAAGTAGGCCTATAGACCATTATCATGTTGCGGCCGTTATGATTTTTTCACCATTCAAATCAACGTAACCAAAGCGAGGCTGGAAGGAAAAATAGCCTGGTTCCTTTTTGCGCAGAAACATTATCATTCAGTATTATTATTGAATACAAGGAACATGACTGAAATGGTGGCAGCATTATAAAGGTCTATCTCAACTCTCGAACTGAGGTCCTAAATCATTTAATTGGCACCCGATCGCTGTCCAATGGCACATTATGCATGTCCTCTGTTCCATGCAGGTAAATGTACTAAATATCCAGGAACCTTGGGATGGAACAAGTTTTAACTGTCTGACGTTCTTCAAAGATTGTCGTGTACAAACTTCAACCCGGGTGTTCAGTTTAGCCATTATTTGTCCATTTTGATGAAATGTTCTTGAAGAAAACTAATACATTTAAACGAATGATAATTACATAAGAATGATTTTCCAACTTTCAAATGTTTTCCCCGCAATAACCCCCTCCCAAAGTTACATAACCGGTCCATTTAATTTCAATTGATAAAAGGATGCCTTGCATTAAGAATCACTAAAGCCGTATACTGATATGAATTAGAAAGGTGTTTTTTAAGCTTGTTAAAGAACTGAACGAATTTTTAAAAGTTTTTAAAAAAGAACTGTGCGTTTAAGTCTCCATTTGTTCTTAAAGCTAAAACGTGTTTTTATGGGGGTCATTAGGCAGTGTTGGGTTATGGGAATGGTTGGGATGATTAACCATCATCTTCCGTCTGGAAAATGCCAACTGGGTAGAAAATCCCAATGTTCCCTAAGTAAGATTCATAAGTAAGAAATAACAATCTCGTTATTACAATCTCTAGTCACTGCTTTAAGTCTTAAGTCCTATTTATTACGTGTCCTCCGCTAACCCCATTTACAAATTCACGATCCGCCATGCAGGGTTGGTTTTATACACCATAAAAACTTTATCTGTCAGAAAATATGACGTGAGAATTTACCTATAAGTCCGCCTACAGGTTCAATCATTCGGACTCATGCATGTTTTCTCAAAAACAGTGGGTTTATTTAACAAAAACTATTGCATTATTTCGCAATAGTAATGCGTTATTTCGCATAACTATTGCGTTATTTCGCAATGCTATTGCGTTATTTCGCAATAAAATTTTTTTTTTACTTTTAAAACCTGGAACGAACGGGCTTCCGTAGGGAGCTCCTATGGGTGCAACAGTGCAAAAAAATTCCCATAGCCACTAGTGCTAAATGCCCATACTTCAAAATTCTTTTAAAAATACTCAGAACTCTCATAGGTATTTAAGCTGCACAGAAAAATGATGATCGACATGTCATCTTTCAATTTCTTTTCATTTTTTTGGTGGGTTAACCATTGACTTTTCGAGAAATTCTCGCCCAAAGAAGATGACCCCTATTTTCCCCAAAGCGGAACGGTAGCCATCTTGAATTGGAAGCCCCGAGTCCGGGCCAGAGGTTCATTGCCATATCTCCTCAATACCCCAATGTTATGGCTCTCAGAACTCTTTATATAGAATATTTTGAGGGTATAACTTTTATTCATCAGCTCGGCGGATGGGTTTAGGCCTATTTACAGGTGTTCACCCCCTATTGTCGCCAAATTATTGAAGAGCGCCCTGTCTTGACAGCCATATGAAATCCTTTTGGGAACTAACCCACCGGGCCGGTTTTTATGTGCAACCTCTATGAGAGAACGCAACGAAAAAATCATTAAAAACGGGCCTTTTTTACATCTGTCGCCACCACTTCATTATTCGACAGGGTATACCTTAGATCTCACTACAGTGTGACCCTAACAATATACTTTTTCCAGAAAATGAAACAAAAACTGAATAAAACACTGAGTTTCACTCGCGAATTGATGTTAAACATTGCATTTTCAGTCACAAATCTCCCTGTTTTGTGTGTGTAAACCACGCGTTCAGCCAAGAACTGCAGGTCCATTAACATCATCATAACGTTAAATAGTGCCACCTGGGAGCTTAGATCTCTCGGGTCATTTTTCTTCGTCTCGTCAGCTTTCCAACAATATAACAACCCCTGTCACACCTTTGCGTATCCTAATTCCTTATGAGTTCCTTATCAAAATTTTTTAATACGCAGCCGTACGCTCAAAACGTCGAAATTTTTGAATACTTTGACTTTAGTGCGACGCACATCTAGCGTACAAGTAACGAATTCAGCGCATCCATTGCGTATGAGATGTGTATGAGTTGCGTATGCAGTGCACAATATTATTTTTCGGGCTGCGAATAGGTCAGTATGCAGTGCGCATGCTGAGCGTATTCCGGACGCACCCGACTTATGCCGACCGCATGCCTGACGCAATACGTCGGCATTCGCTATGAGTTCGTTCAGCGTGCGTTGTATCTGCACTGCAAGTACACTCTATACACGTCCAATATGGGCGGTTCATAATTATGCTGACGGGGTGCGTGCCGGAAGGTCAGCGTATTACTGCATATGAACCGCTTATCCCCCACGAACTCGTACCGTGCTTGACCGATGCGCTGCTATTTATAACTTATGACCTGCGTAACAGCGTACGCAGCGTAGTTTTGTGCATGCCCAAAACTATCCTGCGTACTGGGCCGTACCATGCGTATATCTGCGTACATTAAACCTACACAAAACGATAGAGATGCATATGAGGTGCGTATTGTGCGCACGACTGCGTATGAAAAAAATGTCAATGCGTAACTCATAAGGAATTAGGATACGCAGAAGTGTGACAGGGCCCTTATTGTGAGTGGTTAAGGTTTAGGCTCGTGTGTATTCACGTCTAAACTCAAATAAAATTTGCCGTTTATCAATGGCTCAGCGCGTAGGGTCTGTTTATTGTACACGTGCTAGGCAGCGCTACTGTATATACACAGAGCCCGGGAGCTCTTATCTCCATGTGTCCATGTGTCCATGTGTCCAAGGTCGTCTGGCTGTGCACTTTGGCCAGTTTACATGGGGGTCCTTTTGACCACAAAGGATTTGATATGCTGTGAATAGTAAGGTCAAAGTTAACGCACTGTAGTTTTTCATTTGTTCACTCACACGTACGTGCTCTTGTCTGATGCTTTTCATGCGGCTGATGTTTCCGCTGTCCTACTTGCCTTGTAAATTAAGTTATTTGTTGCGTATAATAAAACCATCCTGAAAGCCAATATTGTGGGGGGTACTTGTAGCTGTGCATCGGAAGTCAGTCTTATACCTAAAAGTTGTGACAGCTTGTATTAACTGGACAGTTGCAGAGAACGAGCCGTGGTGAGTACTCAGAGTAGACGTACTTTTTGCTATGACTGCATGCTTACCCTAAGATTGTGTGAGAGGGGCTATACATTTGTACATTGAGCAACCTGGCCAGAAATTCGGACTTTATTTTCCTTTTAAAAAGTCATAATGAATATATCATTTCTCATCAATATGTAGTTCAAATGGTAGTCATTAGTCTTATTTCAATGGTACTTTAAATGCGCCCAAAGATTGATTATTGCAACAGCGATCGTACGTGCGCGGCCTAGTAGTAAAAGTGTTGTGTTTCAAACAAGAGTCCGAGGTTCGAAGTGACTGATTAAGAAATTAATAATGGAAAAAGTGGAGGCCTATGTGCAAGGAAAACTTTCCCACATTTTACATTTTGTGGTGTGTGTGTGTGTGCAGTGCCCGTCTAAAATGTGCATGTTCGGGAAACGCAAATTGCTTTGCCGCTGGTATAGGTTGCATACTCTTGCAGAGTTTTTGAGAATTGCTCGTGCAAACAACGCACGCTATTCAATGGTGTTGTTTTCACAGGTTGAAGGCACACTTACGTCAAAGTTTGTGCCAAGTTTGAAGTTTGACCACCTACAATGGTCGCTCAGTCGACTTCAAAAATAATGTGCCCGTGCAGATTCGGAAACATGGTATGCAGTGCTATTCACCCATTGATCCATTAGTATTCACCCATACTGGACAATGTATCGCCCTGCAATGCACGTGCGCGTGCCCGTCCTTTTTGCATTGTGCTACATACAGTGCAGTGATGGTTGCTTAGTTGACTACAAAATGCATGTGCTCGTGCCCGTGCATGCCACTCACGTACGAAGACAGTGTGCAGTGCTATCGCTCTACAATGTGCCCGTCCTTTTCCATTGTTGCGTCATATTGAGCACGCGCGCAGCTTTTTCGAGGACCGCTCTTCCAAACCACTTCAAACTCAGCACTGCACATTCTGCTGTCCCGAGCAACACACCCGCCGATTTTCAACTCCATACGGTGCCCGGTTCTGGAGATAATCGGCGGACAGACGGACAGACGGACAGACGGACAGACAGACAGACAGAGATTCCTTGAATTGTAGTATAGATGTTTGTTTCATACTGTGCAATGTGAATATACATACATGTACTTAAAATTTGATTTTATCAATGTTAATGTTCAAGTCATGTTTTATTGTATTATTACCCCTACTGGGACCCATGGGAGATCAGTTCTGATTAAAGGACTGAATGGGCCAACCAGTATAAAGAAGAAATAAATAAATAAAAAATTAAAAAATAAATAAATAATGTGCTTCGATACCGTTGTAAGGAACTTGCACAACTCGGTCAAAAACCACAATCTACACCGTCATCTATAGTTCAATGCAGTACAAAGCTCAATTGTCGCGAGTATCAACGAGGTTCGAAGTTCTGGGTCACAAAAATTCCACGTTAAGGCCCCAAAAAAATAATAAGTCGGTCTCTGGTCAGCGCGCGCGTCGATTTTAATCATGCGCGTCAATCTTTTTTTTTCCAAAATGTTCCGCGGTAGCTCCAACAGCGCCCTCTATTTCCGCACCTCCTCAATTTTTTTTTACCAAAGAGCACCAAGGAATGGGAAATTGCACCAAGGCAAGTTTTCGAAAGCACCAAGGCAAATTATGGAGGACACCAATGTACATGAGGACACCAAAAAGCAAAATAGTACCCCACTTTGTCTGTACAATCAAATCTAGAAGAAACCCCCCCCCCCAAAAAAAATAGCCGCGTGGCCGCGTCAAT